TATCAAATATCTTATCAATAGATTGTAGTATTGACACTTACATTACAGTGATAGAATTATGAACGTAGTGCAGTTAACAGTGTGTATTATTTAAAACTGACAATGTAAACTATTATATTAATTATTGGCTCTCCTGTAAACTACGGCCGGTAGACAACAGTTGACGGCCGGTTAGTTCACTCTCACTGCTTGCCTTTTATTATCACGTGGTCTATCTTCTCAGTATTCTTGTTCTTGTCTCAATAAGTTCCAGATTCAGATAGTTGTAAAGAATCACATAGTTAAGAATATTTTCTTTAGAATTGCAATATAATTTTTTTTTATTTACTTCCTCTGCCTGGTTAATTATTCTGTGCATCATCATTCTCTGTATTTGTTTGCTTCATTGTTGTGTTTTCCTGGCTTCTAGTACATACTGACTATGTTAGCTAAAGTGTGTATGTGTGTGTTGGGGAATCAACAGATTGGTGCTCCCCCCCCCCCCCCCCAGTATTAAAATTAATACTGGAATCATTTGTTCAGCAGAAATGTGTTCGTGTTTGCAAGTTGATACCATGTAATTACTTCTAACTCACTACACTTGAGCTGCTTGAGGATGACATCCAAATCTAAGCTCTCAAATCTATTCAAAGGAAAGAGTGTTCCAAATGTGAGTATCTCTTAGATGAGCATAATATGATATAATATATAATTTACAGAAAACCTTTAGCTTAGTAAACAATCCTAATTTGTTGTTCTAATATTTATGAATTATAATAAGTTCTTCACTATGACTGTTAAAAACTATGAGGTCTGCAGCAGACCTTTGAGAATTAGAGGGGTCTGCAGGTCTTAGCTGATTGGGAACCACTGGAGAAACATAATAGTATAACCAAATGTACACATAGATTTCCAATGGTGCTTTCCTGTTGAAAAAAAAATAAGAAAGAAAGAATCCCATACTTATATTTTTATTAGTTGATGGGTCCGAACACCTAAAAGCTATCAAGGACCCATGTGAAAAACAACTGTCAACTGATTGGTTGAACCCTAAGGTTGCAATCTGAACAGTTTCACTCATTAAATTACAGAGGTTTTGAATGTCAAAATTATGTTCCTTTCAGTAGCTAGGCCTTTCTTTTTTATTTGAAGGGGATATGTTCTGGCATAGGTCTGCTGTTTCATGCACAGTCAAATACAGTTCAACAACTAAAAATGTTGCTAGCCAACATTCGTTATTTGGGGCCTGTGCAGAATGGAAAAGAATAATGGCATGAAAGAATCACTGATAGGATTTTGTCAGCGAGAGAACTAAACCATTTCCAGTGAATCAAGAAGGGAGAAAAAAATGCTGCCACTGACTAGGACGCACTGTGAGAAAACCAAATAACAATATACTTAGAATGTCCTTGTAGTTGAATTCACGGGTCAAAGGAATGATCAAATAATGAATGAATCACAAATTGAAATCACTGAACTTGGGACATTCCCAAACATGCGCAATCCTTCTTCCTCAGTAACAAACAGAGCGTTCTCATACTGAGAGTATCACTTGCAGCCTGATTAAAAGTTCACCTGCTTTTCTGCTATAGATTTAAAGAAAAAAAAATCACCTAGACCCTCAAAGGAATATACTATACAGAAAAACTCACAGAGAAGAGAATTACAGAGTGAGGGGGAAAAGATCAAGGGGACTCCCATCCAGAAAAATGGCTGTGTATTCATTGAGAAGGCTAAAAAAAATAAGCTCACAAAATAATTGCTACATTAATAGCCCATGGTCTAACATTGTTTTAGGCATTTATAGGATCATGACCCACCCCTGTACATATAAACATATTTAATATATTTGATGCTTCATGAATAACCTGTTTTACACCAGAGCCGTATGGGACATATGACTCATACTTTTATTGGCCAGTTGTCACTCTGTCAAACTACTGAACGTAAAATTTGCCTAGAAAAATGCCAGACTTATACTTTTAAAGACCAGTTGTCACTCAGTCAAACTACTGAACGTAAAATTTGCCTAGAAAAATGTCAGACTTATACTTTTATAGACCAGTTGTCACTCAGTCAAATTACTGAATGTAAAATTTGCCTAGAAAACTAACAGTCAAGAAAATGCTTAGGGTGGTTCTGCAACATCTTGTAAAGGATACAACACAACTAACTGACTGACACTCAGTGTGTGATGTGGTCAGCATCACTCTGGTCACTTTAACTTGTTAGGACATTACTTGGTACCAAGTTTAGGTTAGGTTGACCTAGCAGTCAAGGTTAAGTTTTGAAAAATCTAACTCAATGTGGATTTGAACCAAGACCTTTGGGCCACCCGTGGAGCATCCATCTGTTATGCTACCACAACTCCCCCATTCCTATTGGCTGTGTGAAATTTAGGGTCCTTATTACAGTGATTGATGACATAAAATTTCATTTTTTTTCTTTAGATATTTGTTACATCTCTCCGCATGTTTTTATCAAAGAAATTACCAACTCTTTCAGTACCAAGCAACCCTCTTTGTATAATAGCTACTTTTTATAGAATAATTTTCTGAACTTTTCATTTATTATCATAGTGTACATGAACCCATTCCGTGCCAGTGTTTACTGTAACTAATTTAGTCCTACAGTGCCAGTATTTGAACCAGGTCAGACATAGACAAATGTTACTTTTAGTAACAAATGCTTAGTATATAACATATTTAGTTATAATAGACACATGTTACACAATAAACTTATTGAATAATGCTCCATCTAGAATATTTTCATAATTTGTGTTCTGTAAATGTTAGCTTCTTATGAGATTTTCTTCTTCTTGGGCAGCTACCTTCCTATAGTTCACCTTGGAATAAAAATGATGAGAAGTTATGGAACGCCATTAAACAACAAAATGCGAAGCAAGTGAAATCCATTTTGTCTAAATCAGCAATCATGCCAACAAAGCTGGGGCCTCAGGGAAAATCAGTGTCAGTTACTGTTTAATGCTAAATTGTGGTTTTGCTGTGTTTGTCATATTATTGTTATATTTTTTCTGAACATGAGTAAGAAGGTTCTTTTTCCACATGTGTTATATCCTCTAAAGTAGTAGTAGTAAATTTTACCTCACCAGGACATCACACAAATGATAAACACCTAGTGACACAAAGTGTCACCATGTGGATGAGGATCACCCGTGGAGAGGTCCCGGAAACCCTCTTCAGCTGTTAGGCCATATCTATGGCTGGGCCATATGTATGCCCCGACTATATTCAGGGCCCCCGGCAGAAGCCAGGGTGGGGCTTCAAATAACAAAAAATTGCATCCCACGAGGGGACAACTTTGAAGCCCGAAAAAAAAACCCTCTAAAGTTAACTCACATGAGACTCTCTCTTGTCTCTTGACAGATTTTTTTGGGTTGTTTTTTGTTTTGTTTATTGTTTCTGAACTTAGTTCATTTCTTTATTATTTTGACTTCTTTGGACACCCCACCAGCTGCTCTTAGTTGTTGGCAGTTTCAGGTTTCAAATGACTGAACTTGTGGCCATTCTGAAGTAATTTAGTCTGATTTGTTTGTCTTGGTTATGATTTTCTCCCTTTCTGCATTCACAGTATCAGCTGTGTTTGCTTTACCAAATCTAAAAGCGCTGAACCTCAAGGTTCTGACATAATTGTCTCCCCTATTCACACTGAGGAAGACAATGGTAGTAAGTGAAAGTAAAATAAAGGAACTGTTTCATGCCATCTGCGCATCAGCAGTATCGTGATCAATATTGTTATCACCGTCACGCTGCTTGTCTTTACTTCCTATAACATTACGTGGCACCCAATTTTAGGCTAGTCTGACCTGGGAGCTAAGGTCACTTTGTAAGATTCATACTCAGTGCAGATCCTGAAATACATTTGGGCCAGTAGGCTAACATTTGACTTGGGTTATAATTAATCATTCCCTTGTGGGATGCAATTGTCTATTATTTTGAAGCTCCACCCTGGCTCTTGCCAGCGGCCGCAATGTAGCCCGGCCATAAATATGGCCTAATAGCTGAACACGGTTTCTGGGACCTCTCCACGGGTGATCTTTATCCGCATGGTGGCACTTTGTGTCATCGGGTGTTTATCGCTTGTGTGATGTCCTGGTGGGGTAAAAATACGACTACTACTACTACTACTGCTGCTACTACATTTGACTTTGTAGTGTTCACTGATTCAAAGCTGCAGCAGCTATACTTTCTGGCCTATCCATCTAACTTCAGCCTGATAATGTTTGGAACATATTGTCATTTTCTTTTCTGTCCCTAGTCTCTTAGTCAAACTACAGGGATGCTGCAGCTCCGAGGATCACCAGTTGAAGTTGGGACTCCATTGTCCTTCCTTTTTGTCTGTTCCTGGTCTTCTGATTAAACTGCAGCCAAGAGTCACCTTCCAGAACTACCACTTGAGGTGAAATTGGTATTGCATTGTTTTTCCCTCTTCTGTCAGATCCCAGGATCATCACTTCCAGCGAAATAAGGCCTTGGTCAGCCAAAGTTAGCTTTTGTGCAGACAGTTAAGTCACTGACTGTATTCATAACTTATGCCTGTGTCCTTTGTCCTGACTTTTACATATGTGGTTTGTATCTTATGTATTGACAGATAGAGCATCATAGTTTAGTTTTTCTATTCCCTAGAGTAATTAAGATTAATTGGTTTTAGTTTTTAGTTAAGATAGCCTGTTCTTGTGCTGTCTGTGCAGGAATTGTAGACTATTCAGATCAGAAGCATAACATGGATTTGTGTGTGTGCCCTGGACATTTTAGTGTGCAAAGTAATGAGTAGCCTGATGGACTGGCTGCTGTCGCCCCTTTGTGTGGTTGGCTACATTATGATAAAACAGACATAGTGAAGGCTCTTTGAGATTAAGGAAAGAGTTCAACGAGCTACTGAGGATGGAGACAGAGCATTTTTGTCACAAGTGAAGTGATGTCAGTTTATAATTAATTAAATAATACTTTATAGAATGTATCTAGATGGATTTTACAATTACATTATATATTTTTTCTCCTTATATTTCCTACTTGCTGTCTGTCTTGTTTATCACAGGTTTCATCTTGCATGTGAAGTTGGAAATGAGCAGATTGTAGATGCCATTCTTGCAGTAACACAAGATGTCAATGATCCCACAATTCAAGGTCAGCAAATCGATAACATTGAAATCTGTATATCTACTTTTGTCTTGTAATTGTTGTTGCATACCCAAGGTTCTGGTCAGATAATTAAAATATATCCAGGACTGTTTTCTAGTGTGCAGTACTGGCACTTTTTAAGCGTCAATGTTTTTTCAGAGCCAATCTAAGGACGCTTGATAATGGGTTCTGGCATTTTGTTTTAGACATTTTGCAGTGAGTCATTATCATCATCATCCCATAACACTGCGTGTCATTGGGTCACCAGTTGCTGTTGACTGATCAGCTCTCACCACCTTTGGTGGTCAGATGGGATGGACTTCCTGGTTGCATGACTAAGGTTTATCCAGTCAGTCACATTCGGTATCTAGGTCTTTCCTAGGAAAATGCCCTGTATATATCTCATATAATTTTTTTTGAGTATCATTCTGTCTCTCCTGATGACACCATCTTTTCTCAAGCTCCAGGTGCTATAGTTTTCTTTGTTACTAATTTAACTGATGCTGTCTTACCTAGGTTCCTTGCTTCCACAGGTGTAACAGCACTTCAGCGAGCAGCAGCTAAAGGTCACACAAATACAGTGAACAAATTATTAAAGGTCAGCCACATACTATTATTGATATTATTGTTCCATAATCTATAAACACATATTTAATTTAACAGATCTTGACATTTACCTGACTACCCACATTTTAAAGTTGGATAATTCTCGTCAGCGAGTGCCTTGATGGTCCTGTGCATCTTACAATCTCCAACAGCATGTTTCAAATTGTCTGCTGACATCTTTCCATCTTCTTCTTCTTTTCTCTACTCCTGGAATGCCTCGAGTCCAGGCAGGAAAAGATCTCTGGAACAGGCTCTTCTGTTTGCTTCCTATAAAGTATTTTTCAGTGTCATGACAAAAAAGCTGTCAAGAATCTTGTTTTTTTTTTTTTGTCTCCTGCTTTCTCTCTTTCAGATGTTTTTGATTTGTCTTTGTCGTACCATCTGTCTAAGCAGTTTGATTACGCTTTCTGGCTACATAAAAAAAAAATTCCTATAAGAACTTTATTCCCAAGGTATCAATGGACTTTTTGCTTGTTGACTAAGTGCCTAGAATTCAGTCACATTTAAAAACTTTTTGTATGAGATGTAAAAACTTTTTTTTTTCTTTTTAGCTTGCAGTGACATGGATTTATTGCATAAGTTCTTCATTTTATAAATTGCAGTTTTTGTTTCTCCTAATCCCACCATGGGCAGCAGTATAATTTCCACCCAGTATGGTTCTCAAATCCCTGAGAGCAGATTTTATATACTCAGTATCAGCTACTTCAAATCTTCAGTAGCTAACAAATATTCCCATACTTAACAAAAATTCTGGGGAGATTGACAAAGAAGCATTTAAAAAAAGAAACAAACCAAAACTATCAAATCTCAAGCATGTACATAGTTCCACATATAATATCACTATTTAAACAAACACAGTTAATCTTAGATTATATCATCCACTCAGTGCAGTTGGTCTTTCCAAAAAAAAAAAAAAAGGTGCTAAATACAACATAAAATGGGACTAGAAAATAATGGAAAGTAGGCATACAAATACACCCAAACATTTCAACCAAAGTCTTCATCAACAGAGCACTAAATATGACAACATAAACTGTGACTGGAAAACACAACAAACTAGACAACAGAGTCTTAAAACAACCAAGGTCAACATGAAAACAAGAAATATTTACCTAATACAAAAAAGGACCTAGCACCATATGCCTTATTTGCCATTGGTGTGAGAAAGATACTTTAATACTTGATTCTTGCTGTGTTCAGTTTTCTGTAGAGGTATTTTACCCCTAGGGAGCCGAGATGGGGCAGTGTGGTTAGCACGCTGTCTTGTGGTCATTTGTTTATATTTATTTAAAGAAGGGGCTTTATTTAAATTTACCTGTACTTTTATATTGACTCATCCTAAAATGTTTGTCAACAAATTAACTGAAAAGAACCAAACCACCTGCATAACATAGACCACATTACTCATTAAATACTGATTTATTTCTTCTTTTCATTCTCCCTGACGAGTTTTTCAGATTAGAAAGCCACTTTTTAAGCCATTGTGAAGGCAGCATTGTGATACATGTTCTCCAATGATCTTTACCGCTTAGAGAGGTCAAGGCCCTTTGAAGCCATTGAACAGTGTGGGAGTATAAATAGATCATTACAGTTTAAAGAGAACACCTTGTCATCCCTTTTTGGGATGAAATTATTCGTTACTTGAAGCCCTACTCTGGCTCTTGCCAGGTGCCACAATATAGCCCAGCCATAAATATGGTATAATGGCTGAACGTGGTTTCTGGGACCTCTCCATGGGTGATCCTCAGCCACATGGTGGCACTTTGTGTCATCAGATGTTTATCGCTTGTGTGGTGTCCTGGTGAGGTAAAAGAAGATAGATTAAAGAGAATATTATGGCAGGCAGTGACCAGGGGATCTGGCTAAACTCTGTACTCAGAGGAAAGACAAGATGGTCATATAATGAAACTGCTACTGGTACCACTGGAAATGGAAGTCTTTCACTGGCTGCTGAAGATGGGGATTGAGTGCTTATAAGAATGTCCCAAGTTCTGTGATGCCAGTGATTGACCCAACTCCTCACTTTCCACTCAAATACTAACTGGACAGACATGTTATCTCTCTTGTACATGTAGAGAGCATTCTCCTTTCTGCTGGAACAGTAAAATGGCTGCTGCATCAAAGGATGAAGCATGAATGGGTAGGGCCGATGTGCTAGGAGAGTATGTCTGCAGCACATTTTTCAGTATTCTGAGGTGGCAAAAATTTGAGGGTTAGATCTTCAATTTCCTGCATGTCTATGGAGTCTATTGTGTCCAGTTCAGCAGTTCAATGCAAGAGTCTGAACATATGGAATAAGCACTATATACCAAATACGTCTCATGATGTGAAAAAGGGTCTTTTTGTTTCTTGCTTTCTTGCATAACTATTTCATTCCTGTTATATTAGTTTCACAGGTTTTTTTAAAAAAATATCTTCTTCTTCTTCTTTATTCATCAGAGTATGTTCTTGTAGTTAAGTTTTGTGAAACATGATTTAAAACTATGATTGGTTCCAGAAAGAGGCTAATGTTGATCAGAGAGATTGTAATAGCATGACCGCACTTCATCATGCATGTTTTGGGCAGAACCAGGATTGTGTGAAACTGCTTTTGCTGAAGAATGCAGACCCTAATGTTGTTGACCAGGTATTGTACTTATAAACAATCTTCTTTGGGTGTAAAGTATAAACATAAATGCAAATATCTTCATTAACTTCTTCATAGAGAAAAGTATTTAATTTGAAACATGTTTAAAGGCTATTGATACTTTGCATATAACATTTTATAGTTTTTTTGACTACATTGCTGTCCTATTGATAGGTTTTTATATAACATTTTTTTTGATTTAATCGACAGTGGGTTGGGTTTCCTCTGAGACCAGTACAGTTTTATAATTTGTGTTGTCATTTAATTCTGAATATATTTTCTTAGATTCCTGAAGTTTTTTGGAAACAGACTCTTCTTCTGAGCAATAATACTTCCTTCTCCTCCCTTCTAATCTCCATCTGAGCAGGCACTTGACTCTTCTCAGCAAGCTCGTGATGTTAACAATTGTGATTCATTTCATCTAATTGTTTTTGTTTTTATGTTTTTTAGTATTAAGCAGTTTTAAAATTATTTTTCCCCATGTGGGTTCCAGGGCCCTGTTATAGGGAAAACAAGAATAGACCCACTGCCTACCCAAAAGTATGTCGTAAGAGTCGACTCTAATTGGGAGCTTCCTTCAAAGTCGGAGTGCATCTACCTGAGAGGCAAGGAACCAGCAGTGTGCATAAAATGAGTCAGATCTGTTAAACGGATGCACATGCAACACTCAGGTTCTGGAACAGGACTGCAGTTCAGAAGTGGATGAACAACCAGAACTTTCCGCCAGAGTTTACAGCTGGTGAACGTGAAGAAGGAGAAGAAATTATTTTATGCGACCCCTTTACTGTTTATTATGCAAATAACAATAGGATTTTCTTTCTCTCATGGGGATGGATTAATCATTCTCCTTTTCATTACTATGGGAAAATTAGTTTTGTATACTTTAAGTTTGGAATACATCCAAGGATCTTGAACAGATTAAGGACAGGTACTGAGATACCACTGTAGTTTTACCAGATGATGTCTGGAACTTCACTTTTATGACTTTTAAATTGATTAATCTGAATATGTTCTTTAGTAAAGATGAAAGCAAAATATTCTAACACGTTTTATTGTTATATTCTGTTTCAGAGTGGCAAAACGCCTCTGTTTTTTGCTACCCATCAGGGACTGTTTGACACTTCAAGATGGCTGCTAGACAAGGGTGCTGATATAAACTGTCAAGACAAAGATAATGTGTGAGTTATGTTGTGTACTACTGAGTGTTTTTCAGATGTTAATTTAGGATTTATGCTTTATGTCATTTGATATACTTAAAAATGATAGATAACTTTTCACGTTGGTGACACAACATAATTTCACAACACAATTATTTAGTTTGCCTGTTATTCTTGTTAGTGTTTTATGTTCATGTGACACACCTTCACACTGCAGCCTTATATGTTGTGTAACACCAATTGGAAAGCTGTACCTTAGAGAAAATGTATGTATCAATTTTGCTTAGTTTCAACTGACATGACAAAAGTTTAAAAAAAAATTAGTGTTTGGCGTATTTAGTGGGTGTGTTCGTTAGAGAAAGTCAGTGTATCATTTGTGCATTGTATCAGTGACATATTTTAATGCCGTGAATGCCACGAGAAAGAAAACTGGAATACTTTGTTACAATGGGTAGGTAATTCAGAGGGGTAGAAAGATAGGATGGATTAAGAGAGACAATTAATTATTATATCCCTGAACATGGAGACAGTGAAGAAAGCAGAAAAAGGCACCGATACTCAAAAACTGAAGCATCAGCACAAGTCGCAGGCTACAGAGATGGTGAAAGCAGTGGAAAATGCCACCTCCACCGACGGCATAGACCAGAAGATTCAAGAACTAAAAGAGCTGCAGGCTTCAATACAGAGAGACAGACAAAAGTGAAAGAAATTGAATAGAGTGGAACGTCAGGATAGGGAAAATTGAAGGCAATTAACAAACCCTAGATAAAAAAAGAATTGGGATAAATTCCAAAAAGCACTCAATAAAAATGACCAAAAAGAAAAGCACAATACCTCAGATCAAGCCAGTGACTCAGAAATAGAGGTAGATGACAGCGATGATGAAAGAAACCCAACCAGACCAAGGACTGACACTGCCTGCTACGACAGCCACAATAAAAGCAGCATAGTCAAATCTAAGATACCCCCTGCCAGCCACAGCTAGAGGGAAACAAGCAAGAGGTCAAGATGCTACAGAAGAGGCTGGTAAAGTCCTTTTCAGAATTAAGCCCTTATCAGGGTAACACCAAAGAAAGCAGCAGAACTACACCTCCGTGCAGGAAATGAAGGAGAAGCAGACACAGGAGAGCCTAGCCCTACAGTGATAACAAAATTGGAAGAAAACACCTGTTGGAAGATGAGCCAAACCAACCACAACTTTCAAGTGGGTTAAAAAATAAAAAGGAAGAAACACACCCTATAATAACCCACAAGCACAGGTTGAACAAGGTCGTCATGGGGGGAAAAAGGAGATAAATTGATTATATAAATATTTGGGATCATTGAAATGGAGGAACATCTGTATAAAAAAACAACGGACTGTACATGAGAGGGAAGGTGTGGTAATGGTGCAGAAGCTAGATTCTCACCTGCTGATCCAAAATCATTGGGTTTAGATCCACATCAAGGTAAATATTTTATAATTTACTGAGGGCTCCAGAGATGGCATATCCTAAATTGGATACTGGGAAAAGTTGAGTCAAGCGGATTAACCTTATCGCACTAGGTTTTATCCTATACTGCTTGGTTTCTCTCCACAGAACAGCTAGCCATCCGTCGAGAGAGTTGCATAAAGTACAAGCTCTTTAGCTCTGATGGCGATTCCAATAGGGCTAAATAAAAATTACACTTCTGAACTGAATAACTCACCTGTGAAATGAACCCACCATCTTTAGAGCCTGAAATAATTGTCAAAAGTGGGATTTGAACTCACTCAGAAAGAGTGGTCTATGACCTAAATACACCACCTTAGTCCGCTCAGTCTTCCTGGGAAATAAGGTAGACATCTTAATGTTGACTACTTCCCTTGCCAAGTGTGGACTGGCCTGTAAAAATAAGAATCAAGCCCTACATCCTTGTGCATCAATGGTGTCAAAAGATTCCTGTACTTTTTCTTCTGTACAAGACAAAAGTCTGGATGCAGGCATGATGACTAATGGCACACAGCATGGACTCATCATCATCAGGTGCATTGCCGTCCGGCATAGGTGATAGTGAATCACCACAACTTGCTATGTTCAACAGCATGTATCATTTCTTGTGTTGACACCTTTGCATACAATAACAAAAGGCTGTCAACAATCTTCTTACCTTGTCTTCCTCTATTTCTCTTTGTACAGATCATTTATCTTTACATTTTCCAGTTTCTTCTGACAATGTGACCAAAAAGTGATGACAGCATAAACTGTTGGAATAAAAAAAAGAAGAAACCAAAATATAGATTTTTATGGAGATACCAGCCCCCCCCCCCTCCCATATATTAAATGTTTTGTTTTTAATTGTAAGTGAACATGTCAAAAAATATTTGTGCACAAATAAAGGAATAATTGCTGAGATTTTTAGTAACCAGAGTTTTCCAGGTTGACATGTTGTTCATTTAAATGAATGAATGAATGTTTTTTTAAAATCAATCTTGACTTGATTCATCTGAGATTTTCTTTCAGTCTTTAAATTGTAGTTGACAAATTTGAAATCTCACTGGCTTCTTTGTGAAATGATATCTCAATCAGTATACATGGTCGTCTCATTCAAATACTTGGAAGTTGATATTATAAAATGTTCAATATTTTTTATTTATTTTGAAGCTGTATAGGCATGTGATAAAGATTAGGGACATGGTAATATTGGTCGACTGACTATTTATAACAAGAAAATACATAATTTTGTGCTGTTGTTGAATAAACTCTATTATTTATAATTCTTTAAACAGCACACCACTGATGTTAGCAGCAAAGGAGGGTCACAGAAATATTTGTGAGCTTTTGTTAACAAGAGGAGCTAATACAGAGCTAACTGATCGATATGGTGAGTTTTGTCTTATCATCTCCCTTGCTTTACACATAGGGCAGTGGTAGCCCTGTAAATGATGATGTATAACCACTTCTGAAGTGACCTGTTCTTAAAAAGAGTAATGTAATGTGCTGTGTTTAATAGGCCAGGATATGATATAGTAACTAGAAATAGCAGTGTGGCCGGGGGAGGGGGGGGGGGTGTCCTTATAACCCCAGTAGCTTTTTTAAAATGTATTCTATTTAATGCTTCACTTTATTGGTTACCCCTTTTATATATCTTTATATCTTTCGGAAAAAAAAAATATTGATTGTAACAATTTGCAAAAAAATATTTAAAAAAAAAATTTTTTTTACGACCTGTGTAAAATGGTTGTTTTTAAAGAATGTTTTTTTGATATAGTGATGATAGACCTGGTGAAGATTAAAATTATAATAAAATAACAAAGATGGTCATACAAAAAAATTATAAAAATGATTAAGAAGACTAAATTATTGAAAAACAGATAATGACGGCTAAAAAGATGACTTGGATACGAAATGAAGTTAATCGTACAGGAAATAACAATTTTGATCTTAATTTTTGTAAAGAGGTAAGGCCTAAAGCTAATAAAGGTGGTGATCAAGAAAACTGCCATTACTCTCTGTAGTTACCACTTTTGCGGTGTAATCATAGGGGTCTTTGAGTCTGAGGATTTAGAGCCGTATGGCTGGTGCTGTTGCCATGGACTGTGCAGATAAGAAATGTTTATTTGCCCTCGTCACACAAAAGGAAAACCCAATGAAAATCTAGGATTTTACCCTGGTCTCCCGCATGAGATCCCAGTGTTCCTAACTGCTTGGCCAGCAGCTCTTTTACTGAAGCCACACCACATAATATGAGCATTGTCATCAATACTATTGATCCAAAAGACAAAAGACCAAAATCTGTGGTGACATGACCTGCCACACCATCTGTTTTTATGGGACATAATGGTAGTGATAATAATATTAATGATAATGATAATTTCATATTTACTAACCCTTATCTGAAAAGGTAAGGTATCCAATATATTACTCAGGATCAGGGAAAAGTATAATAATAATCTTGAGTTCCTTGTTTGTAAAATCGGTATCATCAGAATTTAATTTAAAAAAAATAGGGAAAATTTAAGAACCGTTTTTATGCCAGTAGCACATAAGGAATTTGATGCTAAACTCGTATTTTGATAGACTAATTGGCACTTCTCTACGACATGGCCATCGGCGGGTAAGAGGTGTCATAACCTCTCCCCCCTGCTGCCTTGCAGGGTAAGTCTCTTTAGACAAAGGCTATTGAAGTCAAACCATATATACAAACCGGCGGAAGGCAAGGGGAGGCACCTCTGTACTATCCCCAGAAAATCAGCCTCAAAATAATACATATTCAGATAACAACGTGAATGGGGATTCCAGTGGAATCACCTCGTCCGGTAGGGAGCATCATGTTCTACTGGTGATACCCGACCGTCATCCAGCTACTGTAGAAAAAGTAAATGGTAGAAACATCATGAACATTGGTACATGGAATGTCAGAACACTCGTACAAAACGGAAAGTTGGATAACATCAAGATGGAAATGAAAAGAATGAACATCAACATATTAGGAATTAGTGAAATGCGATGGCCAGGAGCAGGTGAAAAGTTTTCAGATCAGTACAGAATTATTTACTCGGGTGGAAAGGAATATAGTAAGGGAGTTGGTATTATTTTGGATCAAAAGAACTCAAAAACTGTGAAAGGATTTTGGACAATATCAGATAGAGTACTATTAGTAAAACTTCGCGGCAGACCGTTTGATATCAACTTAGTACAGATTTATGCCCCAACAGTAGATAGTTCAGATGAAGACACTGAAGTATAATATGATGAGTTAGACATCGCTGTTGATCAATGCAAAAATTGTGAAGTAACAATGGTACTTTGAGATTTTATTGCGAAAATAGGAAGTGAAAAAGTGTACGGAATAACGGGTGGCTATGGCCTAGGAGAAAAGAATGTGAGAGGTGACAGATTAATAGCATGGGCTGAGTCACGCAGCATGATAATAGGTAACACCTGGTTTAAACACCATCCTCAAAGATTGTGGACTTGGAAAAGTCCTGATGATAATGTCCGCAATCAGATTGATTATATTTTGATTTCAAGAAGATTTCAGAGCAGCTTAGTTGGAGCAAAAACTAGACCAGGGGCAGGCTGCTTTAGTGACCATGTTCCAGTTGTAGGAAAAATTAGAATAAAACTAAAGAACATTAGAAAAACACCACAGAACATCAAGTTAAATTTAGGAATTTTTAGAACGGATAAAGAAATTAAGGACCAGTGGATAAAGAAATTAAGGACCAGTACAATGTCACTGTACAAAACCCGTATAATGCAATGGAAATTATTGATGAACAGTGGAATATGTTGCGTGAGTCAATTCAGCAGACATCTAAAGAGACAATCCCACCAACCCATAGAGTTGCAAAAAAGAAATGGATGTCAACCGAAATTCTGCAGTTGATAGATGAACAAAGGAAGAAAAAGAATGATAAAGAAGAATACTCTAGAATACAAAAAGAAATAGTGAACAAATGCAAAGTGGCTAAAGAAGCCTGGCTGAATCAAATGTGTACAGAGATTGAGGAAAACAACAGGAAAGACTCACATTCCATGTACCAAAAGATAAATATGTTAACAGGAAAGATGACCCGTAACAGCACTGGATGTTTGAAATCAAAAGATGGTGACTTATTAATGGGACATAGTAATATAATTAACAGATGGACAGAGTATATAGGGGAATTGTATGATGATAATAGACCAGATGTAAAACTGCAGACCAACAATGATGGTCCACCAATAATGACTGCAGAAGTTGAGGATGCAATACATCATATGAAGAAAGGAAAAGCACCCGGGCCAGACAACATCTCACTGGAAGAAATCGAAGCACTGGGAGATTTTGGAATTGAAATAATAACTAAACTTTTAAATGATATTTATAATAGTGGGTATATTCCAAATAACCTTTTAAAATCCATATTTATTAAGAAACCAGGCAGTATAAAATGTGAAGACCATCGCACAATGTCTTATGAGTCACATGACTAAGATTTTACTGAGAATAATTATGAGAAGAATAAGAAACAAAATTAAACCAGAAATCAGCGATGAGCCGTGTGGATTTGTAGAAGGAAAAGGTACAAACAATGCCATATACATCCTAAAGACATTGTCTGAAAGAGCTATAGAAGTAAAGACTGATTTGTACATATGCTTCATAAACTATACAAAAGCATTTAAATGTGTGAAGCATGAAGAAGTGATCACACTGTTAGAAAAATTAAACATTGATGGGAAAGATCTACGAATAATAAAGAATATGTATTGGCAGCAAACAGCAGCTATAAGAATTAACAACTGTTTAGGTACATTTCAAAGCATAAAGAGGGGCGTACAACAAGGATGTGTACTGTCACCTGATTTGTTTTCAATATACAGTGAATATATAATGAGAGCTTTAATTGGTATGCCCGGAATTGTGGTTGGTGGGCACAATATAAACAATTTACATTATGCTGATGACACAGTCTTGATAGCAACAAGTCAGAAAGAACTACAGGAAATGATAGACATTGTGGTGTTAGAATGTGGAAAAAGGGGCCTCAGTTTGAATAATGGGAAGACAGAAGTAATGGTGGTATCAAAGAAACAAATTATTCCTAAGTGTGTAATAAAAGTTGATGGTGTTATTTTAGGACAAGTACATAAATTTAAGTATCTGGGCACATGAATAACATCAGATGGAAGATGCATAACTGAGATAAGAAATAGAATAGGACAGGCAAAAACTGCATTTTATAAAATGAAAAACATCTTGTGCAATATATCCTTGTCATTGAGAGTTAGAAAAAGAATTCTTGCTTGCTACATACATCCAGTTTTAACATATGGCTGTGAATCCTGGACAATCGGTAGGCAGGCCAAACAATTTTTTGAGACCTCGGAGATGTGGTTTTACAGAAGAATGCTTAGAATACACTGGACAGCCAAAAAGAGCAACCAAGAGGTTTTGAAAGAGGCGGGAGCCCGAAGACAACTTATCACAGACATCAGAAGGAGACAGTCATCATTTTTCAGCCATGTTATGAGAAAAGGGAAAATAAAACATGTTGTAACCACTGGAAAGATATGTGGAATGAGAGAAGATGCTTGACAGTCTTGTTGCATGGCATGAATGTGTGTCGGCACACGAACTGATACATGCTGCAGGACATCGCAGATTACGGAGAGGCATGATCGTCCACGCCAGTCGGCAAGACACCTGATGATGATGATGATGAATTGGCACTTATTCAGTGAAGTGGTCATCATCGTGCTGGCCATCTTTACTTTCTAGGAAATTACCTGGTGCCCATTCTAGGCTGGGTCGATCTGGGAGCTAAGGTCAATTTGGGCTGGCAGGCAAGCATATAGCCATTACAATACAGTGGCTTCCACATCTAGATTTAGACTAATATTGTTTTAGCCTCTAGTTTTACAATCCTGGCATACAGAAATTTAAGGTCAGCTTCAATTGATTTGGTAGTTGACCAGGTTGCTTTGATTTGGCAATGTATGTTTGCAGTCAAGTACCCTTTTTTCTGCTGTGTGTATTATTTGAACAAAACTTTTGATATCAGTGAGAAAAGCAATACTTGTTGGCTGTAGTATGTGTCTTATAGACAAATGCAGATGTCCTTTTTCACTAAAATCTTTCTCGAACCTAATATTGTTAAAAGGTTATATGTATGGTAATGTACAATGTATTTTTTTTACATTCACTGTCACTGTTCAGAAAGCAGTCACAAATCACTATACAAAAAAGTGCTTCATAAAACTACAACACTGCCATAAATGATGGGTTTGATTGATAATACTATGGTAACTATGCAGCTAACTTATATTAGCAAAGTACATAATTATCTTTGTATAATGTTCACTGAAAGAAATGAATTAACTTTACCTTAAAAAAATCTTTACAGGCAGAACTGCTTTGGATCTGGCCGTATCTTCCAAACATTTAGAATTGCAGGAGGTGTTTGCCAGATCAGCCAGAGGATCGATTTCTGTCAATTCAAGTGGACGTAGTATCTCACTGAGTGACTCCTTATCACATCAGAATTATATTGTGAGTAGAACTTTCTAATGGTAGCAGTTGCAACTAGTCTTTTAGTTCTAATTAAGCTACATTATATGACTGATAGCCAAAACTGCACACAAAGATGGGATACATTTAGATGGGCATTATAACTAGAAAAATGGGCATGCTGGGATATTTGGGCATGCTGGGAAAACATGATATGCATTTTGTGTTTCAGGAATACAGATGAAACCGTCTGCTGTAGAGCTAGCTGTTCATGGTCATTAAATTTAGACAGATGCTACTGCAAGTACAGAACAGGCATATGACATTGTATAAAAACAATTACACTGTGTAACACAATTTCTCTCCATATTCTATGTTGTCAGTGCCAGACATGAGCATTGGCAACAAAGGAAAATATCCACCATCCAAGGATCCATGTTAAAAGAAAGGTGATAGATGCAGCGGCCTTGCATGGATATTTATTTTGTTTCAGCCTCCCTGCAGAGTGACTGCCCGCTGCCAAGAACCTCACACACAGCCATAGTAGCTCCAGCTACGACCAAGAAAATCTCCAAAAAAATAGCTCCTGTTAACCAAATGTCGCTTTGTGAAATTGAACTTGTGACCTTTAAAGTGTAAGGCATGCAGCTTGTCCATTGTGCCATCGAGACATAAATAGACAGAGATGGAAATTCTTGCACACATTGTGTAACATAAGAAAGAGAAACTGGGTTTTAAAAATAATATAAAGAAAAATTGTGTAACATTGTTGAAACTAAATCAAAAGAAAGCAAGTTACTTGTTATTTGTTGTCCGTATCAACATCTCAGCACATCAGTCACAACTCATGATGCCTCACCCTCTGATGCGGTAGCCATCTTTGTGTCTCCATGCTCACTGTACCCAATAGGAGTTGACTGGGATAACTTCTTTCTGTGCCCATTTCTGCATAACTGTCATTATTATGTCTGCCCTGTTCATACTTCTTCCTTCCCTAATGACTGTAGACATAGCCAGTTTGCTGTTTCATTTCTTCACACCAGCATATCATGATGAGTGCAGGCAAGATAGGTTCTTGAGGTGGGACTTCTGTATGCTGTCCACCTATTCTGGTTGAAGTTTTGCCAGTTTGGATTTGCATGCTCATTGAATTATTCGCGATCAGTGCATGAGTTGCTTTCTGTTCCATCAGCCTTGCAAGTGTCCCTGTGACAGCTGCTATCTCCATCATTATGCTAGAAGTAGTTGAACTGAAGGCTTGAGGTTATTCCTTTTTTGTCTTCCCATTCACTTGCACAGTGTATAACCATCCAGACCGCCACCCTATGGATCACAGACCGCGTGTATATAGATGATTATGTCACCTATTTAAATGTGCTCGTGGATGAGGGCTCTTATTTCAGAATCAGTCGCTGTTTGGCTCCTTTGTCTGCAACTCTTTCCCAGAAGAGCAAGTAAAATAGTTTGGCCTTGTGTTATGTCTACCATGTTAGTCTACTGCTTCATCAGACCAGAAGTATTCAGATACAACAAGCGAAAATGCCAATATTTGGCCTAACTGCATATGCAAGCAACAAACACCATTCTCATTCATGGGTACCCTTCATATTGACTTTGTAGCAGCCAGGATAAGACAACAAATAGCAGTTTTTTTTTTAAATGTAACATTTCATGGGGAAGTAATCCTTGCTGTTTGTTCAAGTTTTTAGTAATTTTTAGCTTTAGATGTTGTTGATAATTTTGTCTGTGTGTGTGTAACTGATCACTTTTAATTTTTTTCTTCCTAGTCAGGAACAGTTAACTCATCACCAGCACACAGCACATCCTCAGCAGCCAGGAGTGCAGACTATGTGAATGATGATGAGGTAGGTTGTGTTAAAGAGAATCATTTCAAGAGAAGTAAAGATATAGAGACTGTTTGTAGAGGTAGTTTGTGGGAAAGAGAATCATTTAAAGAGAAGTAAAGATAAAGATACTGTTTGATGGGGTAGGTTGTGGGAGAGAGTATCAAGAGAAGTGAATATAAAGAGACTGTTTGATGAGTTAGGTTGTGGGAAAGAAAATCATTTCAAGAGAAGTAGTGATAAAGAGACTGTTTGATGAGGTAGGTTGTGGAAAGGAGAAGTAAAGATAAAGAGACTATTTGATGAGGTAGGTTGTAGGAAAAAAGAATCATATGGAGAGAAGAAAAGATAAAGAGACTGTTTATGGGGGTAGGTTGTGGGAAAGAGAATTATTTCAAGAGAAGTAAAGATAAAGAGACTGTTTGATAAGTAAGGTTGTGGGAAAGAGAAGTAAAGATAAAGAGACCGTTTGATGAGGTAGGTTGTTGAAAAGAGAATCATATCAAGAGAAGTAGAGATGAAGAGACTGTTTGATGAGGTAGGTTGTGGCAAAGAGAGTCATTTCAAGAGAAGTTGAGATAAAGAGACTGTCTGATGAGGTAGTTCATTAGATAGTCAGCTTGAAGAAATATTTTTGTTTTTTGTGTGTGTGGAGGAAAATCAGATTGCTATGGTAGTATAGTGATTAGATACTCACTTGTTAGCCGAGGGTCTGGGGTTCAGATCCACAGCAAGGCAGATTTTTTTTTTTTCAAAATTGAACTTGGCTTCCAAGTCACACACCTCCCACTCCTCACCCCCACCCCCCAAATCCTTTGTGAGTTCTAGGACCCCATTTTGGGTGAGGGAAACAAAAATAGATCCATTGCCCTCCCCAGCAAGCCAGCCAACCAACCATAAAGGGTGTCTAATAAGGGGTTTGCTGGAAATAGATGTATTGGGATGTAAGGTTCAGATTCTTCAGCCTATCTGTAAACTACAACACACATTATACCAACCACCATTTTAAGGGCGAATGTAGAAGAAGAAGGTCGACCCAGCCTAAAATGAATTCTAGATAATGTCTTGGAAAGTACATTTGGTTGACATGATATTAGTCACATCACCTGTCATTTGCTGATTGATCTATAAAATCTAGGTCTTGCCCTATTTGCCTAATGCATGGAAATATCCTTTACTTTCTACTTTACTTAAAATGGTGGACCACTTTCAGTTACCATTTGTATAGGGCTCCTTTTTCCATGCCATGGTGCGTGTTGGAAATATGGTAATATGGTGTCAGTACAAAATGTTTTATAAACCTTTCAGCACCTGATGGGCGATTTGGTTAGTATTAACTGACTGCCATTACTTCTAGAACATTTCCTGATTCTTTTTTTTTTTAAAGACTTGGTCGTCTTCACTAGTGTAGAGCTTTGGAAGAGAACTAAGCAAGCTGCAGTGGACCAAGAAGTGAAGAAAAGAACAATGTAACTAGAATGTTTTTGCACTGGAACCCACAGGAACATAGGAATAACGGAAGGCCAAAAACACATGGAGAAGGGAGCTGGATAATTAAGTTAGAAAGTTGGGGGGGGGGGGGGGGGGGCATGGGAGAGCTGCATGTGATAGCAAAAAATAGAACGACTTGGCTTGAATTGGTTGAGGGCCTATGCTTCATTGGGGGCTAGAAAGGCAGAAGAAGAACGAACGAACGAACGAACTTTATTTTCAAAGGGTTAAGAATTGGGCACACAGGCCCGTCTTACATTCTGCCCTTCTGGCTTCATGCCATGCATACATTATTTATGCACACATTGTTTTAGAAGATAGTAGTAATAAAAATAATAATAATAATTACAGGCATCATCAATAACATGTTTGTAACAAGGTACTCTAAGTATGCCTACAATTATAATACTAAATATAATAAATCTTGGAAGAAGAAGAAAAAAGGAGGTCCCTTGGGAGCCTATGCTGTCATGGAAGCCTGGGTCATCTTTTGAGCCTATGTTGTCTTAGAAGCCTAGGTAATCTTGTGAGCCTAAGTTGACTTGGGGGCCTATGTAATCTTGTGAGCCTACATTGTCTTGGAAGCCTAGGTAATCTTGTGAGCCTAGGTTGACTTGGGGGCCTATGTAAAGGAAATCTTCATAGGAATGCAAAACTTGTGGAAATAGGGAGTCAGGCATGCTAGCCACTGTGCTGCCTTGTTTCCTGCCTTGGGTGCAGTAAAGATAGCATTATATCAGAAACTGTGAAGCATTGAGTCTTCACATATACTAGGCCATGCCATATGAGGTTGAGTGGTCAATTCATAGCTCCACTTGTTTAGTTAATGTCGATCATTGTCAGATTCACTATTATGTATATTATATTATCTCAGTAAAGAAGTCAGTCATAAAATAATTTGCTAAACTTTCTCCACAAAAAAACATTAAGTCAAAGCTTTCTGTGTGTGGGTTCTAGGGTCCAATTAGAGGGGGGGGGGGGGGGGGGGGGGGGAGGGGGGGTGCCTTAAGAAGTGTGAAGTAAAAGGTGTTTAATTAGGGGTAAATTGAAATCAGATGTTTTCAGCCGAAAGTCGCAAATATTGCAGCCTAACTATTGGCCAAAACACAGCATGCTAACCACCCTTTTAAGGGCTAACGCAGAAGTCACATCTTAACTGATATATCAATCAGTTAACCTTGTGTTTATATTATTAATAAGGAGGTGATCTCAGAGGATCCAGTGTTTGCAAGTGTGAAATAAAATTTTTTTGTCATCGTTGCTTTGCTTAAAAAACAAACCTTACGTTCAACCAGCATCCTTGAAGGAGAACCAGACCACCTGAAATGAAGAATTATCATCATCATAAACCACTTCTGCCATTAAGCGTCATGGGAAGGAATAATTTGGGATCCAGTGCATGTTGGTTACCATTGGCTATTGTCATGCTGTGAAGGCGTAGAGTGTCATTAATGTTGTCGATCCATTTTTCCGTGGCTGTCCTCTTGCTCTTGTAGCTGATCTTTTGAGATGTAGTGCTTGGTATTTGATCTCGCTGCATTCTAACGAGATGGCCAAATCACTTGATCTGCTGTTTGAATTATTTAGTTATGAATTGTGACTAGGTTATGTGCACCATATAAAATGGCTTAGTATTGCACGCCAGCATGAGCCCTGCTTATTAATGACTTGTGCACCATACTTTATAATTACATAATTTATATGAACTGATTTGACAGAGACAGCGATCAGCGGTGTCTGTAATTCAGACTCTTTACTAACTGTTTCACATTACAGAGCATGATCCACGCAGATGTTCATTCAATCCACTCAATGGACGATGCTTTGTTACCAAACCGCCAGACTTCCCCAGTGCTTCCCAGGCACAGTGTCCCTTCAAGAATTGAGCAGGCTCACAGAGTAAATGTCTAGTTTCTTTCTTCATAAAGTTGTGTATGCTAGTATGTCTAGAACATTTACTGCATGCAGAAGGGTTGATATACTGGGCTGGCATTCATACTAACTGAGCCCTGATCTCCTGGACAGTTGGGTTAGTGATGGGATGATCAGCTATCATCTCAGCTTGATGAAGTCTGCTGAGTATAATAACCTTGGTATGCTGCAAGAGAGTCACAGCATTACTCTGTGGTAATGGTAGATAGCACTTGTATAAGCTCCTACTGGAAAGCTGTCTTGCCTGCTCAGATGAGTGCCTTGCTTGTCTTTCAGAATGAGCAGCTCAGATTTGTAAGGTTCTGCAACTTCATGTTATAGCCAGTGCCATGGAGCATTTGTAGTCATGTCTGTCCGCAGTACTGTCTGTCATTTATGATACAGGTTTTCTTTTCTGCTGTGTTAGCCAACTGTCTGATATCTCTGTTGGTCTCTCTCTGGTTCTCTTGGATACATTAGAATAAAAGTACTGAATTGTGATAAATATACTAGGAGAGAGCAGACACAGAATGTGATCAATTTAGTTTAGAAGCTTGAAAATGACATTGCTAGAGAAATACAGAATGTGACAACATTTCTGGGGCATGTCAGACTTTGCGCTAATGGTAAATTAGATAGGAAGGGGTGACAAAAAATGTATAACTATCTAAATGTTTGAAGACATTATTGAACTGTCAGTTTTCAGATTTTGTGGCAGAAGACTTCAGAAGTTGTTAAAGAGACTACAGTAACCCAATAATTATTCCTGCAATAAGTTTATAATCATGTCTGAGGAAACATAGAAAGGTAGAATCTTGATAATAGATTTTTGCATGGTCACTAGTGTCTTGGGGTGCACTTTGTACTTGCTTTCCAGAAATGCATGGCTTTTTAATGTCATTCACTGCATGGCTGGACATTCCTTGTTTCACCGAAAAGTCAAGTTTCTCATTATACTTGCATCATTTTGTGGTATTTTTTTCTTCCACAGTGTCAACACTAGATATGCATGTACTGGGGCCGTGTTGCCCAAAACACACAGGGGACACCACATAAACGTACTTGTTTTAAAAAATGCTAAAGAAACCTCAGAAACATTTTGACCAGAGATGTAGAAAGGTTAAGATTGTGAACTGTGGACCTGAAATGAAAAAAAAGGAGATACATTAAGATTGTGAACCGGACAACCTGAAATGGAGAAAGGAGATACATTAAGATTGTGAACTGTGGACCTGAAATGAAAAAAAGGAGATACATTAAGATTGTGAATCAGACAACCTGAAATGAAGAAAGGAGATACATTAAGATTGTCAACTGGACCATTTGAAATAAGTATTTAGAAAGAAACTGATTTGAAGAGGGTTGTCTTTTTTTTTTTTGGTAAAAAAAAAAATTGTTATGTTGAGTTGTCTTTTTAGTTTATATTTTAGTTACAACATTTTTTTTTAAAGTTTATAATTTGGTTACATTGAGTTTATTTTTAATTTGGTTACATTGAGCTGTGTAGAATGTTGAATTAAGAATTGACGTCACAGCACTCAGTCCCCATCTTCAGCAGCAAGTTCCAATTCCGATGGTACCAGTGTATGTCTGAATGTATTTCAGTCTCCCTTTTCCCTTGAGTTTTAAGCGTCAGCCAGATTCCCTAGTTACTCCTCACAGTGCCATTCTCATCAGAACTCAGTGATCTGTTTGTGCCATCACAATCCAAAGGGTCCTGACAACATCTAGCTTGTCATACATCAGTTCACCGGGAAGGCTAACCTGGTCAACTAATGCCCGCAGAAGTCGGATGTGTTGGCCGAAAGGTGCAAATATCTCAGCCATGCTGTAAACGGACTCAACGCAGTTACATCTTTGGATGAACGCAGAAGAAGAAGAAGATACATCAGTTCACCACCAAGTGGGGCAGAACTGGCCAGTCTGTCTACCTGCTCATTTCCCAACACACCAGCATGCCCTGGATAAAATATCCAAAAGACGCTAACTACCTGGGATCTCTGAAGCGATGCTTGCCACTTTTCATGGAGCATACCTGCCTCCATCTTTCTCAACAGGCTCTGTGAGTCAGTTACATTTAGGACATGTGTACAGCTTTCTTAAGCCAGTGGAATGTAGCAGTGACTGCCTCCACCTCCATTCTCAAACTAGAAGTAATATCATGTGCCAGGCTTTGCTACACTAAGCTTCATCCATTTGCTTTTGCTATAAACCCCCATGCACTTTGTCTGCCTTTCAACAAAGAGCCATCTGTATTTATAATCACATCACCTGGGCAAGAATTGTCATGAATCATTTGTTGAACTTCTGATTCTGCAGCCTAGCTGGCCAGACCTCTGTAAAGAGTGTTCTGTGTAAATTTGATTTGTAGTATTCATTGACTTTCAAACACACAGATCGACAAAAAAGAATAAACATCTTGGAAGATTTTGAGATGTGTTATCTTAGGATACAAGTTGGAGCATAACAGGAAGAGACAAAAGAAAGGAGTTCTGAAGAGTATACAGCCAGGTGAGAGTTTTACAGAAGTGAACCTTTATTTTGGAGATTGTACCTCACTGATTGATAACACAGGATAAAAAGGTAACTGGACAGAAAGGAGGTCTAAAGGACACATTCTTAAATACAAGAGCATATTACTACTAAATAACAATAAACCGAAATACAGCCTTGATTTGTATTGCATTGTTAATGGGGTCTGCTGCTGCATCACCTGGAGAGAAACAAGAGCAGTTTAAAGAAACATTAAATTTACATGATCATGGGATTCAGATTTAGCCGAGCTGATGACAGTTGCTGATTATGGAGGAAAGTTAAGTGACTTGATGAGATGACTTTGACACCACTTGGAGCACTGACTAACCTGTTGGTTATCTCCTGTTTAAAGGCTGGAAAACAATAATCATATTCAAATTATTTAGTCATGAAGTATATTCCAGCACTAATTTTTTTTCTTTGACATGTAAAATATAAATATTAGCATATTAATTAGAAAGAATCTCAGTGTCAGAAAATGTATCCAAATGTCTTTTCATAATTATCTTTTCAGGATTTGAAAGATGAACATGAGCGGCTCATTAAAAATTATAATAGCATATCTGTAGAAAATCTGAAACTTAAAGACAAAGTGGAATCTTTGCTAAAAAAAGCTTCCAGACAAGCATGACAAAGAACTCAAGGAGGTACTTGTATTTACAATTGACTCTTAATTTTTTTTTAAATAGTGTAAGAGTTTATTCAGTGGCTTTTTCAATGTTTATTATATACTTTAAAAAAAAAAGAAATGCATAGTTACTGAAAGGAACAAACCTACTCACAATTTTGACAATCTGCATCTTCGTAATGCAGTAGGTGAAATTACTCGAATTTCACACAAGAATACCTTAGGGTTCCGCCAATCGACACCTTTTTTTGCATCTGAGTCACGATAGTTTTTAAGCGTAGGCCTTTCCCGTTAGTTTGGTGTGTGGCCTCTTCTTGCGTGGATCAGTGACTGACATCTCCTGGGCATGGATGCAATCAGACGTCTGATGTGGGCCTGTGGGATGCCTGCCCACTCTTCATGGAATGCCTGGAACAGATCTAGACCATTGTCTGGAACAGCGTTTCGGCGACAAACACGTCTTTGCAGCTCATCCCACAGGTGCTCAATCGAACTCGTGTCAGCAGACATGGATGGCCAGGGAAGGGTTTAAATTTTATTGGCAGCCTGGAACTGCGTGGTCAACTGCATAATGAGGTCTGCCGTTTTCCTGCTGAAAAAGATATCTGTTGGCATCCCAAAATGGAAGGACATATGGTTAAAAAATGTCATGGACATATCGTTGTGCATTCAAGCTTCCTTCGATGTGTACCTTTTGACTCCCTCCATTGAAACTGATCATACCCCATACCATTACACCTCCACCACCGAGCAGCAGAGCTTCAACACAATTTTGGTCTAAACCTTCATTTCGGCTAAGGTAGACCCTACGCCGTCTATCATGACGCTGTATCAAAAAGAAAGATTAGTCACTGAACCAGGCATATCTCCACTGATTGTCACTTGCCTAGGGACGATGTTGGTTGGCATAAAGAAGTTGATTTTGGCGGTGGAGACGCGTAAGTACAGGTCTTCAGTGTGATCGTCAAGCCCAAAGTCCAGCATAATGCAGTATGTGCCGAACAGCTTGATCAGACACATGATGTCCTGGAGGCAATGTCTGTGCAGTTGAGGAAGCTGTTGTAAATCTGTCTCTGAGGTGATGAAGCCGAATAAAGCGATTCTTCACTGCTATTGTCAATCTGGGTCGCCCACTGCAACATCAGTCTTCAACTAAACCAGTGGCTTGGAACTGGTGCCAAAGTCAACTGATGGTAAGGTAATCTGATGCAAGTTTATATGCCTGGCAACCTGACTTTGACTTTCTCCTGCCTGCAATAAGCCAATAGCAGTATTCCTTAAATTTATCGATAGATGCGCCATTTATGACTTCTTGAAAATGAAGTGATTGTTTTGGTGTAGCATTATCTTTTTATAGGGTTTCAATTGCATAGGCAGTGAATAGTGTTCCCCGCAAATTGTGTACTTTCTCGTGCGCGCATCGTGAGCTATGCTCACAAATATGGTCTCAAACACAATTGACCACTATGTTGTAATGATTACAAAAACCAACGCAATTCACACCCACATGTCCACTGAACACGGTAAACAACATTTGAGTCTGCTTTTCACATATCCGAGTACAGTATTTTATTTACAAACTAATAAAAAAGTGCCATCGGATAACTATGTGTTTCTTTTTTTTTTTTTTTGAAACAGTATAGTTTGTTACTTTATGTTGAGCTGTTTGCTTAGTAAAATTTAATCAGTTTATGTAGGCTTAAAAAGGACTGTAGTCTTATTTTTTTTTGGTCATAGGTATCTTCTTTTCTTCATCTGGCTAGAATAGATAGGATCAGAGTTCTGCCTGAGAAGCAAGGAACTGACAATGTGCACACAATAAGTAAGATTGGGAAATGGATGTGCACTCAGCACTCGACTTTTGGGACAAGACTAAAATCTAAGAACAGAGACCAGCCAGCACTTTCTGCCAATACTCACAGCTGGCCATACACAAGAATGACACACATAGCTGGCGTTTTGAATTTTTTTGAGATGTTGACATGATGCACAGACAGTCCCATAAAATGCAGGCAACAGGAACATGTGATTCATTTGAAGCGTAGTGGTTAGTTCAAAACAGATGGCGTCTCTAGCTTAGGATTTGCAAACATGGTTCATAATTCCAAAATATCAGGTTCACTTTCGCTGCAGGTGATTTGGCAGCAGACTGTGGAAGGGAGCACTAACCATTCTGGAGCGGTGGCAAACTACTGAATGTAAAATTGTCCAGTAAAACCGCAAAAAGTCTACAAAATGTTGGGTTGGTTTGGAACGCCCTATGAAGGATATACAACTAGCTAAAAGAAAAAAATAGTTTATTTTCACTAATTTTTATTTTTATTACGAGTAATGTAGCTGTCTGATGATAGCAGGATTTGATTGGTTGCAAGTCTGTCTGTTCATCCCATAGTTGTGTGTCAGTGGCATCTGTTTATCTTTTTAGTATGATCCTGCCTAATATGTTCCTAGGAACTGATACTAACATGTTTCTTCTATAATTTTGGAGATAACTGGCCTAAAAAGTTGGCGGTCTCATTTAAGAGACTTTCAGAGGTAAATGGTCATAGCTGATTTCCAAGGGAGGCAAATATGACAACACGAAACTTACAGGTGTAGTACTTTCACAGGGGTCTAATACACAACCCTTGTAGAAAAAATAACTTTGTTGTCTTAGAGTTCTCAGAGTCTGTGATGAAACAAGATGTAAAAACAAAGAGAAATTGTAGATTGGTAGTGTTAGAAACTTAAAAAAAAGTTAATGTCCATATATATGTAATTATATGTATGATGTATAAGAATTTTTTTCTAGTCATCTCCTTGTGGTATGCAATTTTTTCATTATTTTGAAGCCCCACCCTGGCTCTTGCCATGGGCCACAATATAACCCAGCCATAATTATGGTCTAATGGCTGAACATGGTTTCCGGGACCTCTTCACAGGAGATCCTCCACCACATGGTATCACTTTGTGTCATCAGGTGTTTATCGCTTGTGTGATGTCCTAGTGTGGTAAAATGTACTACTACTACTAATAATATTTTTTTTAAATTCAAAAATATACCACGTCATCCCCTTATGAGATGCAATGTTTAGTTATTTTGAAGCTCCACCTAGCTTTTGCCGGGGACCCTAACTATAAATGGGCCTTAAATTTGGCCTAACGGCTGAACAGGGTTTCCTGAACCTCTCCACAGATGATCTTCATCCGCATGGTGGCACTTTGTGTCAGTGGGTGTTTATTGCTTATGTGATGTCCTGGTGGGGTAAAACACCTGTCAATCAAAGTATTATTCCTGTTGGCATGCCTGTAGGCAAATTCGTTGCCGGTCGGGACAGTATTTGGGTCTGTCTCCTTTGATCTCATCAACACTGCAGGAGTCCTTTTCAGGGCTACATGGTGGTGAACTATGCTAAGCCATTTTTATGGCACATATAACCTAGTCACAATTATAACCTAAAGCTCCCCCTTTGGGGATGCTGGTTAAACATGTTTTTTTTAAATCAAAGCAAGCCAAATCAAGTATAAGTATTATTGTTTTAGTTGTTGGCATTATTGTTGGAGTTGTTGGCATCCTGCAGTTTATTAAATCTTTGCATGTATTTTTCTTCTTCTCCTAATTAGGGTGAGGAATCTGTACCAAAGTCAGTTTACTTGAAAGAGGTATGTACCTACCTGGCAGAAATAAATAAAGGCAGTTATCATCTTTGGTGGTCGTATTATGAGAAGAGAAAGACTGGAATTAGCTAGGACACCTGGAAATATTTATGGAAGGACATAAAGGAAGATCCCTGTGTGGGTTCCAGGACCCCATTGTGGGGGATACAAGAATAGACCAACTGCCTCCTAACAAGCATGTCATAAAAGGTGACCAATTAGGGTGTTTCATTTGAGGTCAAGGTGCTTCTTTCTGAGAGTCTAGGAACCAAAAGTCTAAACACAAATGAGCCAGATCTTTAAAACAGAAATGCATGCAAAACTCAAGTTCTGGGACAAAACCAAAACAAGTAGACGAACAGCCAGAATTTTCTGCTAGAATCAACAGCAGTGAACGGTAAGAAGAACAAGAGACAGAGAATGACAATAAATGGAGATTCTAGCTAGCCTTTTGTCTTAGCACAGAAAGGTGTCCATAGGCAAATTCGTAATGCGGTGGGACATCGCCAGATGTGGAGAACTATGATTTTCCCTACTGGCTGACAATGCAGTTGAGAATGATCATACTGCTATATATTTTTTCTATGCCTGTGCAAGTTGTTTTATGTTTTCTTTTTGTTTACTTATTTTATTTGTGTCTTTGTTTTTCATTCATTGATTCTCTTACTTATATTCTTTGATTTATTTTGTTCTTTTATTCTTTTCATAATCACAGTTGTAAGTTATCTTCAAAAGTTATCTTTAAAAAATGCAGCCTTTCCTACACACACAAGATTAAATAATTATATTTACAACATTCATCCACATCTGTGTATCTTGACTAATAAGAGCGTGGGGCCCTTGATAGTAAATATGTATAAGTACATATTTGTATATATAACAACTGAATTGTATACAGGTAATGACTTACTGTCTTGACAAGCTGAGTATTATATACTGTTACAGGATGCCCCATGCTGGTACTTTTTTCCCTCTCAGGTACTTGGATTCTAATCTTGTCATTTCTTTTTTATTATTTTATTAAAACATTTAAAAACAAATTATTTTACTCCTTGAAGAAAGTGCACACTGTTGTATACTGTACATATGCTGTAGTTAGTATTTAGTTGCAGCTTCGAAGCTAGAAGCAACATTTATGATTCTAGATATTACTTTATAAAGTTTGTACAAATTGTTAAGTTTTCAGACAATAGGGAGGCATAAAACAACAATAGTGAGAGTGGAGGCAACAACTGTGAAGCTAGGGGCAACAGCTGTAAGCTTAGAGACAGTATTGTGAGAGAAGAGACAACAGCTGTGAGCCTAGAGGGGAAGAAAAGTGAGGTTAGAGGCAACACTTGTGAGGCTAGAGACAACAGTTGTGAGGCTAGGCGACAGTTGTGAAATTAGAGACACCATCTGTGAAGCTAGAGACATTAAATTGTTAGGTTAAAGGCAACACTTTTGAAACTAGAGACAACAGTTGGTAAGCTTGTGGCAAAGATTGTGTTGTAAGAGGCATCAATTGTTAGTCTAAAGACAACAGCTATGAAGCTAGAGGCAACAGTTGTGAGAAGAGACGACAGCTGTAAAGCTATAAGGAAAAATGCAAGGTTAGAGGCAACAGGTGTGAGGACAGAGATAAAAGCTGTGGAGCTAGAGATGATAACTGTGATGCCAGAGGCAGCAAATGTGAAGCTGTAGGCAAAAATGTCAGGTTAGAGGCAACTGTTATGAGACTAGAGACAACAGCTGTAAAGTTAGAGGCAAGAATTGTGAGACTAGAAAACATGTATTTGCATAGAGAGAACAATAATGAGTCTTATAGACATAAATTTGAGGTTAAAAGCAGCACTTGTCAGATTAGAGTTGAGTTGTGACACTACAGACAACTGTTATGAGACTAAAGGTTTGAAGCAACAACAAAAAATGTGAGATTATAGATAAAAGCTTTGAAGCTAGAGGCAACAAATGCAAGGTTAGATGCAACAGTTGTGAGACAGCAGTTATAAAGCTAGAGGCAACGCATGTGAGGTTAGAGACAATTGTGAGATTAGCTACAAAGTTTATTAGCATAGAGCGTACAATAATGAGTGGTATAGACAATAAATGTAAGGCTAGAGACAGTACTTATGCTAGTAATAACACTTGTCAGATTAGAGTTACCAGACTATGAAAAAAAAGACATGTGTTGTGAAGTTAAACTGTTTTGTGCATTGTTTACAGGTACAGCATTTGCAGGAGCAGCTTCAGCAGCAGCAAAAGTTATTACAAACACAGGAGCCAGCTCAAATTAAGCAGGTCAGTTGATATTGAAGCGGAAGCCTATAAGTAGGTCACAGATGGTTGTGGGTAGGCAGGAAGATGTAGTTTGTGGATTCTAAAGGTGTCATTAGATGATAGCAACATCAACTTTATATCTCTGTACGTTAGGTGGCGCTAGGTGTTTCATGTGCATTCACAACACAGAAATAAAATGGCGACTGCACTTTCGGAGTGTACCCTCAAAGACCAACACGCTGTTGTGAATTTTATTTGGGCAGAAGTATGTCAGACGGTAACATTTTTTTAATGATCTGTCACATGAAAGGATAATCTGAGCATCTATCCTTACTTGTTAGCTTATCTTTGTATATACTACAGAGATGTTGATTTAGCTGTCAAAAATATTTTTTTCTGCTCCAGTTTGAGTCGGTAGAGAAATTTATGACATTTAATCCTATGCTATTTACATTGTTTCACATTTTCAGATAAATGTGTCTCTAATGGGTGGTAGTTATATTCAGATAGTACTCAGGTAATTACAGTTCCAGCTTCATTGCAAAGGGTTACCCCATATGACTGCCCCATTCCTGTGCCAGTGGAAACCACACGGACTGTCTATCTCTGTCCCTTGTGGAAATTTTGACACAGACTGCAGTCTCAGAAAATCCAATAGCATACACATGCATAAAATGCATAAGGCAGCTGTCATAAGTGCCAACACATTCTGACACTAAAAAGACACTTCATTGTTGATAGAAGCAGCAGCTACATCAGATCAGTAGCTGCACAGGCAGTTAATTGCATAAGGAATAGCCAGTTCTCTGGTGACAGATTACTTGCCATTTTCTGATTCTGCAGGTTACAACTCATACCATTTTGGGCATAATCAAATTGCATTTCATATGAAATCTGCTAGCTCACAGTGTTGCACCATGCGCTTAAGTTGCTGGGCCATGAAACTGTATCCTTTCAATCTACATAAGGAGGAAAATGTAATGACTAACTATTTGAGAAGTAAAAGCTTACCAAGACTAAAAAGCAAGCCAACACGCCATATTGACCAGAAGTCCTAAAGTAAATATAGGTCCAGAAGAAAAACAAGTTATAAATACAACACCTGGGAGTCCCATGTCTTTGCCATGAATAGTATACTGAAGCCAACAGTAGCTTACTTTTGCTTGTGGTGCATAAAATCATTGATATAGTGGCTGATTGTAAATTAAAAAAAATACAGCTAATAATTGCAAAAAACCTATAAAGTCTTTATCATGGACAAAGGCAACACTACTGCTTTGTTTGTGTATGTGTGTGCATGCATACATATATGTATGTCTGTGCACATGTGAAGGTCGGTGGTGTGTGTGGTGCATTGAAATAAATATATATGTATATATTGAAAAAAATGCTTTTTCAGATTGTTGTTGACAATGGTAACTCTATTATGGGTAATACAAAGAAACAAGATGATGCAGATCCTGTGACTGTCAATCATGACGACGTAATTGCTGGTAATGAGATGTTTGTTGACCTTATCTGTCAAAGCACTGTCTTTATACTGGCTCTATTTTTTTTTCCTTGTCACTCATAATCTGCCTGTTTCTTTATCCATGTTAAGAATTTAGGGACTAATCAATGACTGACATAAAAATGAATTACAAGAAGAATTGATAAAAATCATACATCATAACCACAGAAAGTGAAAAGAAGGCACTCAAAACTATTTAAAAAAAAAGCTATTAAAAAATAAAGAATTACAGCAAATGGGATAACACTAAACATGTAAAGAGATTCAATTATCTGGGGTCAGTGATAACAGAGTCTCCGTAAAGAAGTGATCAAATCGTTTGCCTCGCAAACTGAAGATTGTAAGTTTGTTTCATGGACTGCATCGTTCAATTTTCGAGTGACATTAGTAGTAAAAAACTTGGTATAATGAAGTCAGTGCTTGACTTTAACTTTAGTGATAACAAAAGATTAAAAAAAAAAAAATGAAAAATCCATTTATCTTTATCTTTGACAGGCCAGAAGATATTTTAAAACTGCCTTTATTACTCTGTACATTTGCATTATGGCCACCAAATTATGAGAATAGACAGAAACTAGAGACCACACGTATAGAAAACCAGTAGCCAAGTAGGGCAGAAAGGCAATTTCAGGGAATTTAAAAATCCAGTTAGGACAAACTTGTCTTGTTTTGCCCAGTTAAGGTGTTTTAAGGTGAGAGGATTGACTTCATTGCACTGGATTTTATTCTGTACTAGCTGTACCCGGCCACGCGTTGCTGTGGCATAGTTTGGCTAAATGGAAATGAAAGAAAATAGAAATCGCACGTGTCTAATACAATCATTGTCTGCTCAGATATAGAGATAGTCTTTGATCCCTGACCCCCCCCCCCCCCCCCCCCCCCCCTTAAAACACACCCACCACCACCACCACAACTAAATCCACCTACTACTCTCTCCCTCATCAAAGGTTTTTGGAAAAGAAAGACAATGGAAATCGCATGTGTCTAATATAGTTAATGTCGCAATCATTCTCTGCACATTTATATAGAGATAGTCTGGTTTTCCAACTTTAGAACACGCACCTTATAATTGTGTCTTTATATTAGTGGTCGTTTAAATGGTGTTATTAGCACAGTAACAAAAATGGTTATTTGGTTATCAAATGCTAAAGCTGTTTGTATTTTTATAAGGGACGGAAGTAAAGCTACAACTGTACTTGTGAATAACAAAGTAAGTCGTAAAAAATAGTAAAGCGGAGGTAGCGTTAGTATAATATAAACAAATTAGGTAATGAGAACTTGAAAATCACGTGTAAAGCTCTTTAAGTTCTCTTAAATTTAAGTCATTACCCCCTCCCCTCTTCCACCGACTACTGCTCTTTCCCTCTTCGAAGGATTTGAAAATCACTACCTGGCGATATTTTGTTGTTGCCGTAACTGACATTGAAATCCCTGTCCATCTGGACTAAAATGGGGAGCAGGAATTGTAATAGGCAGTGAATAGGGCTAGTGTAATATTTACCACATCATCCTTCAAGTACCAGTACAACTACTAAAATAATGTCACTGCTATCTGTGTTACCATCGGAGTAGACCGAGAGTCGTGAGCCAGAAGATTTGGTTCCGCATGGCTAGTGCTGTCGCCACAGACTGGTCAGGTTAGGATGTATAATTTCACTTGCCGACAGAACGCCATAACCTTACCGGCGGTTTTCACATGAGAGCACTATGGTGTAACAGCCCAACCACAACTATTACTGCTGCTGCTACTTTAAGTGGGTAAAGCAGTTACTGTGACTTAAAGCTCTCTCAGTTAATAGTTTGCCCCCCCCCCCCCCCCCCCCCCCCCCCCCCCCCCCCCCCCCCCCCAAATTCACCGACAACTCTTTCCCTCATTGAAGTAGTTGGGAGAAAACAACCACTTGAAAAGCAAATGAACACAGGAAAAAAACACCATAATTAGGAAATGAACGCCATGGTAAACATCACAGCTTAAAATTCCAACGCAGATGAAATAACTAAATCTAAATGAAAATAAATGAAAATCTATGAAATTTCAGCGTAATCATGCAATCGGAAAGTTTAAAAATGCAATCATAAGTATGCGAAATGGTCAAATTTAATTATCAAATGGTTTACCCATTTACTTTTTTTTTTTTTTTTTTATATTAAGGCAACATGGCTAATGCTGTCACCACGACAGAGCAGATGAGGATATTATTTTAGTCCGGGGTAAAAAAAAATTTAACTACGCGGATTCGAACCCAGGTCTCCCGCACAGGAACTCAGTGTTCTAACCATTCGACCAAGCAGCCACATAATCAGATGAACGAAAAGAGAACTTAACTATTAGAGATGTGTGTCTCTACTACTGTGTCGCGATTAAAACACAATTCAAAACCGCAGGCAATTGTTTTCTCGTAGACAGATACTCCAGATATATTAATGAAACGGCACAACAATAGAAATCGCACGTGTCTAACACGGTTAATGTAGTTAATGTCGCAGTCACTGTCTTCGCATACGTCGAGATAGTCCCCCCCCCCCCCCCCATCGAAAGTTGTTTGGAAAAAAAACCAGAAAATAGAAATCGTGTTTAATATGGTTATTGTGGCAAATATAGAGATAGTCTTGTTTGCTGTACCACGACCTACTCTATGTATTAGAGAAGGCGTTGGCTGCACGTAACTCGCCGGCGAATGGCGGAAGCCTTGCGTTCTGACTACGGCGGCGCATGCGCAATTACTAACGTGGCTATAATTAGAAATCACTAAAGTTATAAATATTAGTTGCGAATATTATGGCATAAATTGTGGTCACCTATCTCTAACAGTGACAGGTTGAATTTCAAACCACGATGGTTCAAAATCCGGTATCAAAACAAACATATCCTGAAAATTTCAGCTAAATCAGTTCAGTAGTTTCCGAATCTATAGGGGGCAAACAAACACACAAACATTGATTTTTATATATATAGATAGATCAGCATTTCTCTCTGGAGCTATTGACACAAAGCACAAACTCTTTAACTCTAGGGGTATCCAAAACACCTGCACTCACAAACTGAAGAACTAAGTCCAAAAACAAACTCACGAGCTGTAGCTTAACCACTACACCATGGAGACCAAGTATTGAAAAGGTCTAGTTTACATAGACATTTGATTCCCAAAAGCAGGAATGTTTCAGATTCTCAAATCTTCTTTCGAGTATCTGTGTGTGGGCGCATCAGTTTGTGTGCTGAAACTTCTGCATGCCATGACAAAAGGTTGTCAAGAATCTTGTTACATTGTCTTCTTGTTTCTTTTTACACAGTTATGTCCAATGGTCACATATTCCAGCTTCCTTCTTCTCATAACATGACTGCAAAAAGATTTGGATCTCTTTCTGAGATTTATGATAAGCTATCTTCAAGCCCTCGCCTTTTTCAAAACATCTGGGTCACTATTTTTTGGCTATCTGAGGAATTCTACGATTACTTTTGTAAAACTACATTTCATAGGCCACAAAAAATTGTTTAGCTTGTTTATTAATTGTCCGGGATTCACAGCCGTATTTTAAAACCGGCTTTAATAGCATGCAAGAATTTTTTTTTTTTCAAACCTCTAGTTTCCCTAATAACACTTGAGTTAAAAAAGTCAGCAGACAAAGTACATACTTGATTTAATGTTTATATCAGTTTTGTTTATCTTATGATAACTGGTTGTTTTTTAAAAATACATCATTATTTTTATTCTTGTTGACTTTCTGCTAGGCTTAAAGAAACAAGTACATATCTTACAGAAGGAGAATGAGCAGTTGAAGCACACAGTGGTAATATATAAATTATATCTTGTATTTGCATGTTATATAATGATTTATATAATGATTTATATAAAGATCTTTTTAGAATGCCGCAAGATCAAATACCATCACAAGCACTACATCTCAGAAGATCAGCTACAAGAGCAAGAGGACGGCCGCGGAAAACATTGATCGACAACATTAAAGACATTCTACGTCTTCACGGCATGACAATAGCCAGTGGCAGCCAACGTGCACTGGATCACAAATTATTCCTCCCCACGACACTTAACGGCAGAAGTGATTTATGATGATGAGGATGATAATGATTTAACAAAGTTAGTTGCATGTTGGTTACAGAACAACCAACTCCATATGTATTGCCTGTTGTGTTCAAGTTTCCTACTTTGTCAGAATCAACTCAAACAGGTGTATCACTAAATCATCTGTAGCTGACATCGAACCCTGAAATGACAGGTTTGTGAAACTATGTTCACGATCCCCTACACCACAGATGCTGACATATCAAAATAAACTTTATATTATTTGTTCAGTCTTTGAAAGTTATCAGCAAAAGAACAGTAAAACAGCTCTATCTAAGAATGTCTGTATTCAGTTGATACAGCGGTGAAATAAAAGGTGTAAGACTCTGGTTGATACTGAAGACAGTGAACCAATACAAGTCATTTATTAACTCTGAAGTTAATTTGCTTAAACAGTGGATACTCATCACATGAGGATTTTCAAATGGAAGTAATGCTACATATACATCTTCCATCCCATCAGTATATTTTTTAATGCTCCTATGTTTTTCCAAAATAACATTGCAGTTTATTTGATTGGTGAACCAAACAAAATTAATGTGAAATAGAGAAGCAAATCATTTTACAAATGGCAGATTACATATATAACTTGTTGTTCTTCTTGTTAGTGTTCATCAGCTGTCAACTTTAGTGAAAAGTTCTGGTTTTTCATCCACTTCTAGACTTTGTTATTTTTCCGGAATTTGAGTTTTATGTGCACATCCATTTTACATCTCTCAAGCAGGCGCAATTGAACTTCGAGAGAAACACCTCTAATTAACCACCTTTTAGGACATGCTTGTTAGGGAATCAATGGGTCTATTTCCCTGGAACCCACATGGGGGATGTCAGTGAATCAATGTTAGACATTGTTTGTAGGGCTGTTTTTCATGATCATAGCTACAAAAGTTAAAGGAGAATTGAACATGTCAACAGAAACACCAGACTTTTCAGTAAGATATTTCTTGATTTTTGGTTTGTCTAATTATTGTCATTTCATTCTGTTTATTTGTTTCAATATTCATGCTTTAACCAGACTGTTGGTAAACCAGCTACCAGTTTAGAGTCATCAGCTGATGGAAATAGTCTATATGCACAGCAAATGAGGGCTGTCTTGCTGGAAAGAGAGCAGCTTGAAGAACAGGTCAGTAGAACTTTCCAGCTTGTTTCAAGCTAAATTATAATGTCTAGTAACAAATTTGTTTCTGGCCTTCTATAGATTATGAGAAAGTTGCTATTTTTTATGTTGTAAATATTGGAAGACATGTTTATGGCCGTTTTTTATAGTAGAATCATCCACAAACATTTGTAGATAAGATTTTGGATGAGGATTTGGAGAAAAAGGATTATCTTTAAATGTTAGCAAATAGGCTAATAAAAATACTGAAAATCTAGTGGCAAGAGATGATTCTAGAAACTGTCATACTGGAGCTAGCATTCCAAGCATTGATACCATCCTGATGCAGTTACAGATTCAATGAGCAGGTCACGTCATCCACTTGCCAGACCATCGGCTCCCAAAAATAATCTTGTAGGGTGAGATACAGGAAAGTAGACGCTTTCATGGTAGCCACAAAAAACAACTTCAAGGACACACTTAAAGCATAACTTGAAGCCTTCAGTATAAACCTGACACTTGGAAAGCTGTTGCACAAGACTGGACCATATGGCAAACATCTAGTGGAAGAGGCACTGTGACTTGCCAGGCATCTAGAAAACATGTAGCTGAACAATTCAGGCAGGTAAGAAAGACCTGTATAACAGGTGTTTTACCTACAGACACTGTTCTCTGCTCTCATTGTCCTCCTTCCAGCCCCATATTGGGCTTATAAGTCACCTCCTGCTCACAGACAATCAACTATAGTTTCATGATAAATGAAAGAAAGGGTGGTCTTCATCACCTCCAGTTCACAGACAGTCAACTATAGTTTCATTATAGATGAAAGAAAGGGTGGTCTTCATCACCTCCAGTTCACAGACAGTCAACTATAGTTTCATGATGGATGAAAGAAAGGGTGGTCTTCATCACCTCCAGTTCACAGACAGTCAACTATAGTTTCATGATGGATGAAAGAAAGGGTGGTCTTCATCACCTCCAGTTCACAGACAGTCAACTATAGTTTCATGATGGATGAAAGAAAGGGTGGTCTTCATCACCTCCAGTTCACAGTCAGTCAACTTTAGTTTCATGATGGATGAAAGAAAGGGTGGTCTTCATCACCTCCAGTTCACAGACAGTCAACTTTATTTTTCATGACAGATGAAGGAACGAACGAACGAATGAACTTTTTTTTCAAAGGGTTACAAGGCACGCAGGCCTGTCTTACATTCGGCCCTTCCAAACTCCCATCTTTCACACAGCAGTTGTATTTAATTAATAAAGCATGTTATGTTCATGTAATAATATGCATATTATGAATATCAAGTCAAAAACAAAAGCATGGGTGGTAAAATATGTGCGCACACCTCGCGCACACCCATTCACTCGCACACACACACAGGCACCCAATACACACATACATCCACATACATACGAACATGCACACACACACACATACATACATACATACATACATACATACATACATACATACATACATACACACACATACATACACACATACACACACACGCACTTATACACACAGTCACCCACACAGACATTCGCTTTAAAACACACGCGTACAACCCCATATACATTTAGACACACAGCTGTACACACACACACACACACACACACACACACACACACACGTAGCCGCACATGAAAGAAAGGGTGGTCGTCATCACCTTCAGCTCACAGTCAGTCAACTATAGTTTCATGACGGATGAAAGAAAGGGTGGTCTTTATCACTTGTGATGGATGAACATCACAGTAAACATAATTCAAGGTAGTTTCTGAGAAATCACAAATTTCAGTACATTTTTTATAAAAGGTTCTGCTGTTTGGCTGTTGATTGTTAAAGCTTTACATATCTTTTACGTCCTCACATATCTTTTAACCTTCCTCACAGGTAATAATATATGTGGTGCATGTTCATTTCCCACCGTACCTTTCCTGATAATTTCCAAAAAAAGTACTAAAAATTGCCTAGTACCCATTTTTATAAGATCACTGCAACCTTAGGCCCTTTGGGTGGTCATGATGGATGAAAGAAAGGGTGGTCTTCATTACCTTCAGCTCACAGGATTGCATCCAATCTTGGCAGACAAAAGCACTACTAAGATACTGGGATGTATCCATAGTTTTAAAAAAAAAAAAGTAAACTTATGTACCATCTTGTGTTTTGAAAAGAGGAAGGTCTTGGATGGCGCAAGCTGAAGACACAATCGGATAAATTTGTGCGGGTGTGAGGAGTTGGTCAGTGTCCAAGCAGATTTTCAGAGTATAGGATTCTTATTATCGTGAGTGCAGGGACTGGCCAGCTGGTGCTGCAGAATTAGAAGTTCAACAAATGATTTATGACGATTCCCACCCAATTGATATAATTATCTATACAGATGGCTCTGTGTTGAGGGGCAGACGAAGTGCATGGTGGTTTATAGCAAAAGCGAATGGACATCACTTAGTGCAACAAAGCCTAGCATATGATATCACAACGTCTAGTTTAAGAATGGAGATGGAGGTAGTCACAGCTGCATTGCGCTGGCTTGAGAATCAGCTGTACACACATGCTGTGATTGTAGTTGACTCACAGAGCATGCAGAGAAAGATGGAGACAGGTATGCTCCATGCAGAGTGGCAAGCATCACTTCAGAGGTCCCGGGTAGTTAGCATCCTTTGGATATTCTCTCCATGTCATGCCGGTGTGTTGGGAAATGAGCAGATAGATAGACTGGCTGGTTCTGTACAACTTAGTAGTAAACTGATGTATGACAAGCTAGACATTGTGAGCGAGTGAGCAATGTGAAAGCGCAAATAGATCAGTATGGTCTGATGAGAATGGCACTGCGAGGAGTTACCAGGGAATCTGACCGATGCTCAACACTCAGGGGAAAGGCGAGATGGATATACAATCAGACAGTTACTGGTACCATCAGAATTGGAACTCTTCGTTTGCTGCTGAAGATAGGGATGGAGTGCTTATTGGAGTATATTGAGTGCTATGATGTCGATTCTTAATTCAACATTCAACATTTTTGTGTTTTGGGGTCTATTGTATGCTTGATGCTAGACCACTTGATATTCAGAGGATTTGATCATTTACACTGCACGTAAAACTATGGCTGCAGCAGAGAATGCTTTTCACACTATATCAGCACCTGATCCTGTCAGTGGTTGATTATGGCCTGGGACTGCTTACTGTCTCAAAGTCAGATGGACAAACTAGAGCCCATACATAACACAGCTCTGCGGGTCATTCTGGGTTGCACCAGAGACACTCCAGTGTATGCGATACATCCTTGGTTTGCTGACAAGATGCTGCAGGCGAAGTCTTATCTCAGGGCAGCTGCAGACACAGACCACCCTTTGCTACCACAACATCCAGATTAAGAATGGAGGTGGAGGCGGTCACCGCAGCTTTCCTCTGGTTAGAGAACATGACACACACACACATCGTAATAGTAACTGACTCAGAAAGCATGCTGAGGAAGATCAGGACATGCATGCTTCGTGCAGAGGAGCGTGCCTCGCTGCAGAGGACACGGGTGAGGAGTATTGTCTGAATTATTTTACCTGGTCACGCCGGTGTATTGGGAAATGTACAGGCGGGCAGACTGGCTGGCTTTGCACAACTTAGTGGAATGCTCGAGGCTCAGAGGAAAGGCAAGAACGGACGTTTAATCAGAATGCTACTGGCACCATTAGTATCGGAACTCTTCGTTGGCTCCTGAAGATGGGATATGAGAATTCCCCGAGTGCTGTGATGTCAGTTCTTGAATCAAATCAAATCAAATAAAATTAATCTCCCAGTGGATCCTAGGCCCTCAACCAACTCATGCCAAGTCATTCTTTTCCTTCGCTATTGCGTGTAACTCATGCCAAGTATTCTGTCCTTCACTATTGCATGTAGCTCACTTTTTAACTTCACACTGCAGCTCCCTTCTCCATGTGTTTTTGGTCTGCCATTATTTATGTGCCCCTGTGGGTTTTAGTAAGAAACTGACTTCCCATAAATTTTCGGGTCCTCATCTGAGAATTGGATGACTTGAGAACCATGTCAGTCTAGGAAAAAAAAATTCTGCCTTTGGTGAGGATTCAGAAACATCTCAACTGGGCAAAGACATGCATGCTGGAAAATGCACCACCATGGCTTACTTTAAATATAAGAGATGTATGTATTCAAGGGTCAGTTTCCCAAATGAGTATATCTATATGATAGTGTGAATCCAAGAGTTAATTTATCCATAAGGCACAGTCAGTCAGTATTGTGTGTGTGTGTGTGCGTGCATGTGTGTGTGTGTGCACGTGCGTATATATCTATATATATATATCTGTATATATATATGTATGTATGTGTGTGTGTATATATATATATATATATATATATGACGACCTTCTATCCTACACACTAAGGGTTGAGGAGGGGATGACCAAGGAATAACATATATTGTAAATTAAAAGAATTATTGATGTCAGGGATGTTTTATGAAAATGTGTTTGGTACTTGGTGAGGGTTTTTTTAAATCTTCCCCTCCAGAACTAAACAAACATTTATACCAGCTTTTTGTATAAGAAATAATTGGGTATTTTCTCTTTGTGTTTTGGCCATTGTTCAGTGGTTTTCTGAGCTGACAGTACCATCTCCATCGGGACAGTGGAAAAATTGTTTAAACAGTGAGACGTTTTTATACTCATACAGGTGCAGTCATACATTCTATACAGTTTTGTTTGCCCCTGTACACATTTATAAATATATATGTTTGTTACAGTTCAGTGAACATCTAGAAACAGAAAAACTCAAGACAGCAGTTAATCAAGAGGAATTGTTATACCAGAACAACACACTGAACCATGAGGTAGAATCTCTCAAACAAGCAGTATTATCTCTTCAAGAACAGCTGGCAGTTGCCAGGGATGAACCAACAGAAGCTGAGAGGCTGGATGCCATCCTGGCAGCCAGCAGAAATTTTGAGGTTGGTTTTAGTTTACTTGTGATTCTGGTAATCTTCTCCTTTGCGTTCACCAGTTGTAAACTCCAGCGGAAGTTCTGGTTGTTTGTCTACCTCAGGACTTTAGTTTTGTTCCAGAATCTGATTTTTGCATGCTCATCCTTTTAACAGATCTGACTTAATTTTATGCATATTGTTGGTCCCTTGCCTCTAAGGCAGATGCACTCCGACTTAGAAGGAAACCCCCAATTAGTTGACTCTTATGACATGCTTGTTGAGGAGGTAGTGAGTCTGTTCTTGTTTTTCCACAATGAGGCTCTGGAATCCACATTGAGAATTTTGGCGATAAATCTTGATGATTTCTTAACGTTATTTTTATCGTTTTAAAGTTGCAAGTTTTAGATTTTCTAGTTGTAATAAATAAAAAATATGTGTAACTATTATCAACAATAATTTCTATTTAAGTAGTTATGAGTATTATATAAAAAAAAAAAGTAAAGATCCCTTTTCACGCCTTTCGGCGCATATGGGCAGAGCGTCCCATATTTTTACAGACCATCAGCAAGCACTCTGTGGGTAATGTGGTCAGCATTACGCCAGCTGTCTTTACTTTCCCAGGACAGTCCATCCTGGTACCCATTTTAGGCTGGGTCGACCTGTGACGTTCCATACCACGACAAAAATCCACGCAGCCTGCAGTGGGTTTCGATCGCGGTATGCTGGCTTACGAGTCGGACTCGCAATGCCTTAGCCACGGACGCCGCCCTCTTATGATATGTATTCACTGCATTCCCTAATGTAGTAGACACTTGTAGATACGCTAATTTACAATAACTTTACATTATGAATAACTCGAAGTGAGCTGGAATGTAAGAATCTGAAAGTCTGTTGTGGCAGTTAAAAATCTTAATGCTGTCTTATGATTCAGGAGGTAACTTTGTGAATGAGTGTTATGTTAAAATGAGAATACTGACATTATTGTGTTTTGGGAAGTAAACTTTGAAAAGGATGGTTTTAAATCAATGCAAATATGGACAGTGTGATTCTGTATTTAAATTTTGCTGAGGAAGGTTTCATGGAAATTAAAATACTGATAATGCCTGATTGTATTTTAGCAGGTAAACTTTGATGAGGACGGTTTTGTGGACATTAAAAATACTGATAATGCCTGATTGTATTTTTAGCAGGTAAACTTTGATGAGGAAGGTTTTGTGGAAATTAAAAATACTGATAATGCCTGAGTGTATTTTAGCAGGTAAACTTTGATGAGGAAGGTTTTGTGGAAATTAAAATACTGATAATGCCTGTTGCAGGTAAACTTTGATGAGGAGTGTTAAACTTGATGATGCCCGAAGGTTTAAACTTTGATGAGGAAGTGGGAAATTAGAATACTGATAATGCCTGATTGTATTTTAGGAGGTAAACTTTGATGAGGAAGGAAGGTTTTGTGGAAATTAAAATAACTGATAATGCCTGATTGTATTTTAGGAGGTAAACTTTGATGAGGAAGGTTTTGTGGAAATTAAAATACTGATAATGCCTGATTGTTTTTAGGAGGTAAACTTTGATGAGGAAGGAAGGTTTTGTGGAAATTAAAATACTGATAATGCCTAATTGTTTTTAGGAGGTAAACTTTGATGAGGAAGGTTTTGTGGAAATTAAAATACTGATAATGCCTGATTGTTTTTAGGAGGTAAACTTTGATGAGGAAGGTTTCGGGGAAATTAAAATACTGATAATGCCTGATTGTATTTTAGGAGGTAAACTTTGATGAGGAAGGTTTTGGGGAAATTAAAATACTGATAATGCCTGATTATATTTTAGGAAGTAAACTTTGATGAGGAATGTTTCTTGGAAATTAAAATACTGATGATGCCCGACTTTATTTTAGGAGGTAAACTTTGATGAGGAAGGTTTTGTTGAAGGCCGTGACATGACAAAAGAAGAGTTCCTACAAGCCCAAAATCAGCAACTGAGAACACAGTGTGGACACCTCACAGAAGAGTTAGAGAAACTCAGGGTAACATTTGATGCTATTCTCAAGGCTGGGGATAATCTGCAGGCGGATTATGACCATCTAGCTGTAAGTATTGCTGGGCATGATTGTACCCAGACTTTGATTTTCTTCTTCTTCTTTCTCATTTATTATATAAGGATGTTTCACATCCAACTTGAATACAACATTTTCTGGACCAGGATTAACTTCTACTTCAAGTTGTACTTTCTCAGCCAGACTTTAATTGTATACCCTGTTCACAGGAAACTAGCACTTGGATGTGGAGAAGAATCATGGCCATAGTTGACCGATTTTAATACTAGCAATCAAAGATTTCATTGCTGACTATATCTGCCTCTTTATGACTTTGTCCTGGACTAGATTTATACTTGGAGCCTGGAAGAATAGTGTCTGATAGGTTACCTCACAGTGTTAATCCTCCTTTGAGAAGGGGGTGTTCAGTGACAGCCTTGGAGTTTGTTGGGGACAAGAGACTTAATCCAGGGATCCAAGTCACACCATTCTTTTCCTACTCATTTAGTTGGAATATCATCTTTCACTTTTATCTCAATTTAGGTCAAAGTCCAGCAGAGACGGATGAAACTTTTGGAATCCCAGAAAGCAAAACATCAAGCATCAGTTTTTTAAATCTAATTTTTAATGTGACTGGAGAACAGATAATTATGCAAACACTGGTAGTGAACAGTGCTACCATTCTGAAGTTATGTAAAATGTGATGCATGTTATTTGCAGATAATTATGCAAACACTGGTAGTGAATAGTGCTACCATTCTGAAGTTATGTAAAATGTGATGCATGTTATTTGCAGATAATTATGCAAACACTGGTAGTGAATAGTGCTACCATTCTGAAGTTATGTAAAATGTGATGCATGTTATTTGCAGATAATTATGCAAACACTGGTAGTGAACAGTGCTACCATTCTGAAGTTATGTAAAATGTGATGCATGTTTAAAAAAAAAATAATGTAAATTTAATTAATGTCTTACATCTAACAGTTTATTCACATTTTTTTGTAATCCAACAATCAGACAGAGAAAGATGCCTTGCATGATGAACTAGAGGCAGCACTGAAAGAGAAAAATGATGTCATTTCCGAAAATGAACTGTTGCTCACAGATAATAATGAACTTCATGAAAATCTTAAAAAAATAGTCCATGAGCTGGAAAAAATGCAGGAAAAATACCAGACAGCGCAGTCAGAAATTGAAGAGCTGAAACGGAGTGTTACAGTCGCCAGCAAAGTAGGTGAAGTTGCCAGATTGCTAGAGGAGAGGGATATCCTGCAACAGAGGTGTGCAGACTACGAATTAACTTCACAAAGACTGAAGGTAAAACACTGCTTATTATTAATTTCTTACATACTACACACTTAAGCTATATCTTACACTGCTTGATGAGACACAGATATTAGGCCAAAAATAAATTTTTTAGTTTATCAAAGTGCATCTTTAAAGATAAGAAAAAAATTATGTACTTTTTAACATATTTCCTTAGGGCCTATTTGTTGGTTTATGCCTATACTATTAACTATTTTTAAAACAGATGTCATACTTGTTTACAAAGGCAGCAGATTTGAGTTTCACCCCTAGGTTAGGTTAGTTGAGTATCCTTTACAGGATGTTGCAGAATCAATCTCCATAGCTCCCGGCTGTTGTGTGGTTTTTCTAGGCAAATTTATGGCCAGTAGTTTGCCATTGCTTTCTGGACGGTCGGCTGTTTTGATACCACTGTCGAAACCAACACAAGGCGCATGGCCCACAGCTGGGATCGAACCTGGCATCCAGCATTACAAAGCGTTCGCATCGACTTAGCCAGAGAGCCAACTCACCCCTAGGAGTGGCAGCATTGTTCTTTTGTTAACTAATAAAATTCTGGGGTGATCCAGTCTTATAATATACATAGCATATGATTTAAGAATGTTCTGAGAAAAGTCTAGGAAAGATGGGCGGTGAGAAAAGGCACTGGAAAACCCACCTCATTACACAGTCAGAGAAACTACACTATAAAATAGTTTTGATTACTTCTTCCTTGTTTGTCTGAGTGATGTAAATGAGCATTTGTCATCCTGGTTAGTTTCAAAAACAATACCTACACAATATTCAAACAACAAACAGTTTTGAGGTAGTAACTTCTGGAATGACTGCCAACAGATAATATCTCTCAAATGAAGTAAAGCAGAAAAGTTCTGAGAATATCTGCACAGAATGAAAAAACTAACCATAAACCAACCACTAAACACACCTGTTATGGCAGAGAGTAAGCTCTTAAACACATTTTTGAAGTATACATTCTTTGCAGATGTTGTCTAGCTGTCTCAGGTTCCTTACAGTGAATAGTTCACAATTGTGCCAGTTCAGGACATCTTTTGTTTCCATACAATTCCTCACAGTTTTTAATCAGTATTTGTTAGAAATGATCACATTTTTCACAAGATAGTAGTCATCTACAATAAATCATCTTGTGTACCCGGTAGCCATTTTAGCCTACATCAGCCTGGGTGCCAGGTTAATTTTTCAAAAAAAAAACCCTGTCTTGGTGTGGATTCAAACTCAGGACCTTTGTGCCAAATGTGCAAGTCTAGCAACTACAAAACCAAAGCATCTGTCACACACATACTTAAGGATACTTGTTTGTCCCTGCAAGAAGATTGTTAAGGTATTTTTGTCAAAACTTACCTGGATTACAAATGCCCGAGAAGTTGAATGTATTGGCCATAATGTGCAAACATCGCAGCAATACTGTTAACAGGCACAACAAAACGCATCACTTTGGCGAAAGAGGAAAAAGACATTATTGAAACTTTTAAAGTTTAGATTCTCTCATTGCATTATGAGTTTGGTTATCCAGTTCCTCTTCTCATTGCCTATCTTTCTCAGACTATTATCAGAATTTTTTAAAATTATATAGTATGCATGTTATAAGACTGGTTCAACTCTAGAGTTTTATTAACTGAAAATAATAATACTTCTGCCACTCCTAGGGGTTGAACCTAGAGCTGCTGCCTTTCTAAACAAGTCCAGGCTGTGTAATCATGTCTCTTTCTCTGCAGCATGATCATAATATACTCCTGGAAGAGATTCAGAGCCTGAATGAGTCTGTGAATCAGTTGACTAGCCAGAGAGACCAACTTATGACTGACCTGGAGGAAATGGAGCCCGTTTGTCAGCAGCATGAAGCACTTCAGCTAGAGTACAGCCAGGTAATCATTGGAGATTATATTCTTCTTCTTCGCATTCACCAGCTGTAAACTCTGACAGAAAGTTCTGGTTGTTCATCCACTTTTGGACTGCTGTCCTGTTCCAGAACCTGAGTGTTGCATGTGCATCCATTTTACAGATCTGACATTTGTGTGCAGACTGCTGGTTCCTTACCCCTCAGGCAAATGCACTCCGACTTAGAAGGAAGCTCCAAATTATTTGACTTTTACGGCATGCTTTTGGGTAGGCAGTGGGTCTTCTCTTTATTGGGGGAAGATTATATTGATTGCAATGTATTATTCTTTTCCACACCTTATGTTGCACTGTTATTAGATTTTACCTGTCAGAAAAGGTACCCCCCCAAAAAAAATAATTGTGTTCATGAAATTTTGAAAAGTACATTTGTATACATAATTATGCGTAATAATTGTTTGAAATTTTACAAGACGCCCTCTACTTTTACATGCAATTATCATTTAAAGAAAAAACCATACAAAAAGCAGAAGCAGTCAGCTTCACAGTATCATGAAAGACAGGTGAACATTGTTGCTAGAAAGCCTTTATCAGTACAATACATGAATCTACAATACCACAAGAATGAATCTACAACAGAAATCACATTTCTGTCCGGCCAGTAGAAAATTTGACAAACGGTCACCTGAAATAAATACTGGCCAGAGAAACTGCCAGTGACAAGGGCCATATTAGTTTGCCATGTGTTTAGTTGTTCCTGAAAACACTTATTATTGTATGCTGAGAACTCATGTTTCTATTGAACACATTCACTACATTGCTTAGAAACTTATTTGCTTTCTCGAAGCTCCGGGGTTCAAATCTGCATCAGGACAGATTTTTATCATTAATTTACTTAGGCTTCCAGGTTGACCATTCCTAGGGGACATAAAATATCTTGGGAAGTAAAGTCGGCTGACATGCTGTTGATCACATCACTCATCAAGTTCCAATTAGTCTAAAAATATGGATCTAGCAGCCATTTTAAGCTGAACTGGCATGGCAACCAAGGTCAGTTTTGAAATAAAATGCATCTCCGTGGGAGCCTGAACCTGCATTTGTGTGTGCCTGTCAGTACATGTCAATGTGTCTAGCATGAAATTCAAACCTACATTGTTCAATTCTTTTGATATAACATTGTTCATTGTGCAAGCCCCAGTATATTTTATTCCACTCCTAATATAAAAATAGCTGTTTAATTCAATTTTACAATGTTACAGTTAGAAATGGAATTCGCTGAATTGCTGAAAGATAAAGAAACATTAGAACAGCAAGTCTCAAATAACAATGAAGTGAAATCAGAGAGTGGCCCTGTGAAAGGAACTGAAACTGAAGATCTAGAAATAACTGTCAGGCAACTGACGGCTGAGACACAGCAGCTGATGAAAGAGAGACAAGATCTGGAGGATGTAGTGAATGGATTATCCAGGCACATTGTTGCAACAGAAACTAAGGTAAGACATCTGTCTCATTTCTCTTTCTACCAACTCTGTATGTTGATCTCCCCCCCCCCCCCCCCCCCCCCAACACACTTGCCCCCCAATGCCCCCCCCCCTTTTCTGCTTTCTGCTGTGTATGTGTTCAGTATTCATATAATAATTTACTGCAAAATGAAAATGGCACTCATAATAGTGAATATATAGGTAATTTGTAAAAGGTGTGGGGTAAGAAGAAGGTAAAATTGGCCTGCTTGTCTTAAACTTAATAGATGTTATTTGCCTTAAGCTTTTATAAAGGTTTGAACTCATGTGTTCTGCTGATAAGTATGTTGCACAGTGGCTGTGAAAAGTTTGTGAATATTAACAGTAGCAATAGAGAGGACAACAACAAAATTTGTCTGACAAGTAGAGTACGTACTTGCACTGCATTAACAATGCTATTAACTAAATATATAACATTTTGCACTGTGTGTGGGAAGTAAAAAGAAAGATTCCATAAATACAGAACATATAAAAACGAAGACGTTCACCATAAAATTATGCACCACATTGGCAACTATGAACCTCTGTTAACTACAGTGAAACGGCAAAAAATTCTTTTTTATGGACATGTAATAAGATCTAACGGCCTCTCAAAAACAATACTGCAGTGCTCAGTAGAGGGAAAGAAGAGAAGAGGCAGACCAAGAAAGAGCTGGTTACAGAACCTAACTGGACAGGCCTTAGGCATGCAACCATGAAGTCCATCGCAACAGACCATCAAAGGTGGAGAGAGCTGATCAGACAGTCAACAGAAACTGGTGACCCAGCAACATATAGTGTTACGGGATGATGATGATGATGATGATAGACATTCTATTCTTGAAATAATGACATAAGCATGTAACATATATTTCTTGAATTTGTATGAAATGTTCAAGGATGCTGCCCTTTAATTAAAATGGAGGTGTCCTAGTCCTTTCTTGCATGATCACAGTTTAAGAAAAAATGACTTTATATGATTATACAAATTCAGTTTAAAACTGGTGTTTTGTCCTTGATAAATTTGCAGCCATCATTAAATGGTATTTAAAGATTGCTTACAGATGATCTCTGAGGATAGTCACAGACCTGTGAAGTTTGATACATTGTACGATGATCTCATTGGGCAGACAGCACTCTGCAGGGTAGTACTGAGTTAATGAGTTAAACCCTGTACCATAAATTGAATCCTCATACCTTGAAACTTCCTCTGTTTCTTTCTTATCTTTGGCTTTGTTCCTGAGACTTTACAACAATCATAAAATTTTTATTTTCTATTTGATTTAGTTATAAATTACAACTTATCTTGCTTGACTTTGTCTAAAGGTGAAGGATCTTGAGAATGACTTGGAACAATCAAAAGCTGCATTATTCTCTCATGAGTTTGTCAGAAATAGTGTCAGTGACGATGACAATGAGGAGAATGATAAAAAGGGTGAAGTTTTGAAATACAAGGAAGAACTTGTGGATCTCAAGAAACAAATTTTACAGCTTACAAAAGAAGTTGAGGTTAGTTTTAATATTTAAAAAACTATTTATTTAAAAAAAAATGTCTCAGTAAAATTTCTGCTTCTTGAGCATTCCGAGGAGCCCTTGAGATATTGCTGCAGATATCACCTACCTCTATTCATCTCTATGATTGGCTTTTTTTTTCTGCTTGGTAACTCCATGCTTTTATATTATCTCTCCATTATTTTGTTGGTCTGTCTCGAGGTCTACTCCTATTCATCTTTTTCTCTCCTTTTTTTAAGTGTTAGTTTTTGTCTCTCTGTTATTTAGTTAAGGTTTGTGTAGCCAGAATTTATAATGGGGGAGGGGGGGGGGGGGGTGTCAGAAGTGAGGTGGCCTGAGTAGGTTCGAGGTTTAGCAGTATTATGTAATTATAAAAGTTGTCCATCTGAATATAGATGTGAATTAATTTTTAGTAGAAATCAACTTGATGATGTTATCATCATCATCCTGTAGCAGGTCCTTTGCAGAACGTCGCTCTCATCACAGTCTGCCTGAAAGAAACTGGGTCTCTCGTCAGTTCTCCCGCCTCACGCTCTTTCACACTCATGTGGTTCTGTATAAACTGTGCAGCCATTCAATCTCAGCTGGAGATATATCTGAAGCTCTGTGTGAAATGTTGGTTTACAACAGAATAGTTGGTTGCACATAAACAGTATCAACTACTGTAAGTAATTAAGTGACCTTGAGATTATGATGTTTTGGTAATGAGAATGGCTAATTAGGAAGGAGACAGAGTCTGTACGATGTGTCTAAAGTGCAAAAGTATTCAATTTTGATTTGATTCGTTCATTCAGTAAAAGTACTTTTTCCACACCTTGAGACATTCTGGATAAATGTTACACCAGTCTTGCTTGTCTTGTATTGTACTGTTTTTAGACCATTTATCAGTTAATAGTTTATGTGGTAAATCATATCAGCCACCTTGACTTTCCATAACATTTTTCAGTAGCCATGTTTTTTCGGTCAGTTTAAAAAAATCTGCACCTCAGTGAGAATTCAAACACATTAGGTCTAGGCTGGAGTGCAAGCATTCTAGATGCCAACTTATGAGACTGCAAAAGTGTATTTTCTTTTACATCATACTACTGCCCTTAGGCATTTTATGTATACGGTGCTAGACCCATATGTTCAAGACCAGTTGGCACTCAGTGGGACATCCTAGAGTAGTACAAAATTAGCAGAGAAAGAGAAAAGTGATGAGTGTCAATTCTCTGATATAGTCCCATTTATAATGACTGGGGTGTTGATTTTTGCTGCATCTATTTCAGGAATGGGAGAAAAAACATGAAGACACAGTGACCACTTACAGAACTCATTTACTTAGTGCAGTACAGGTAATTTAACTTGATATTTAAGTATTGTTTAGAGATTTCTTTGCCTTAGTCAGTCAGTATTTGTTGAATTATTTCGCGGAGCACACACTTTTTTCAAAGTTAACTGTATGTATACAGACGTGTCTGTTATTGGTAATTAAAACTCATCTTATTACTCTCCATACAGACCCATGCATGCTTAGTCTGCCTTGGCATGTATCAAAGAGCATGAATGCTAATTCTTTCAGTAGCCCACTGGTTATGGGAACTCCTTTGACACCTACAGCTCAGTTGTTATTTCTATTCAGAGCATTCACCTGATATTTCTATTCATTCACATTTAAACAGTCTCCCTTAGAAAGTTAATCAGTTGCAGTATTTGCTATTATGGTCAGCTGTACAACTTATCTTCATAATTGTTTCATTTGATGTGTGCAACACCATATAATGAAAGGCAAAGGATTTCCAAATCATCTGGTGCACTTAATGGAATCTCTTTACCATGAACAACAAGCAGCAGTCAGAGTAGCTGGTGAAACATCAGAGTGGTTTGAAGTGTAGACAGAAGTGAGACAGGGCTGCATTCTTTCTCTGTCCTTTTTTTAACATATATGCTGAGAATGTTATGAGAAATGCAATTAGCGATGAGGCATGGGAGAGCTTTGGTCAACTAAAAGTTGGAGGTAATCCTAACCGAGAACTAAGATGTGTAGACGACACAGTTCTCATTTTCAACAGTGTACAAGATTTAGACAAATTAATTCTGGCCGTCTCAAAAATCATGTAAATATAACAATAAATATAGCACACCTCCCACAATCGATCATGAGGAAATAGTAAAGGTCACAGATTTTGAATACTTGGGCTTTTTAGTGAACAACAGTGGAAACTGCCCAAAAGAAGTCAGAAGAAAACTTGTATTAGCAGTGCAGAGATTAAACAGCATGAAGAAGCTATGGCAAATCACCTGTAAATTAGTTAAGTAAAAATCTTGAGTTCATGCATTTTTCCTGTGGCAGCTTATGGTTGTGAGTCCCGGACTCTCACTCAGTCACTGGAGAAAAAGATTGGAGCTTTTGAATTAAAATGTGAAAGAAAAATTATCAGAATACACAGGGACCAAGAAGAGGAAGAAAAAATAGACATTCTACACAAGTTAAACTTTAACCCTTTCGCTGCTACGTTCCCGAAAATAGTTGTCCTCCCTGTGCTAAGCAATGTGAAAAAAAAAGTCTCTGCTGTGCGCAATACTTTTCTATCCTCTAAACGCAAAAGATGCGTCCGCGGTGAGGGCTATATTTTGTACACCTAAAAAAATTTACCCTGGGGAGTTGTGTGGTTGGTCCGAGTGGTGACAAGTCAGAGGCACGATGGTGCCCCACAAACTTGACTAACGGAGCTATCACCCTTCTGGGGGGTGGGGGGATTAATGGGAAGAACTGTTCCCAGTCCGTATCCCAAAATTTGATTGACGAACCTACCACGGCTGCCACTTTAATCATATTTACTTGTAGTCACCATGTTATTACATACCAAAATAATAAAAAAAAAATATTTTTAATAATACTCAGTCGTCCGTTGCTGAAAAGTAGCAGGAACTCAAAAAAGGAAAATTTACAATTAATAAAAAAAAAAAAAAAACTTCGGGGGTTGAACACACGACCCTCCGATTCTAAGGCGAACGTGATATCAATTACACTATGCTACCGCTTGAAGCAGTGCGCTGTGTAAATGATCATAATGAATGATGTGCGCTGACTATCAATAATGTGTCTAAGTTTGTAGTCTATCGCCGCCTGCATGAGCACTGTTGTCTAAGAAATGTTTGAGATTCTCAAAAATAGTAAAAATATGTCCCTTGACATTATTTTACGGGAGTTTTTAGCAAACAGTCTTTGCTCAAGTACTCTATTTTGAGTTTCTTTGTTCTAAGCATTAGCAGACAGACAGAAAAAAAAAATTAGTTCGTCCGAATCTGTGTCTGTCCATCGGGAAAGACGAGAAATTTTAGTGACTTAACTGTTTGAATTTACAGTAGCAGAAATACAGATAGAGCTGGAGTCATCAAAATCATGCACTACTGGTTTCAAATCATCGGTTCATCGAGATAACTGATCAATTTATTGCTGTTTTGATGGCGCTTCATTGTCGCTGCTCTCTGATTCCGACGATGAGGACGTCGGACAGGCAAACAGCTTTTTTTGGACACGCCGGTTTCAGCAGTCGATACTGATGGCCTAGTCAAATCTTCTTGTTCACTGTCAGAAGTACACATTTCAAAGTCATCGTCGCTATCACCTTTGACAGAAACTCCATCAATTCTTCATCAACTTTAACAAGTTTTCTTGCCATTTTGTGTTAAGTGTAGAATAAACCAAAAGCACAAATATATATATCAGGGCACAAAATTCACAGATCACCGACCACGCTGTCACGGTAAACAAAGCAACGGGATAATGCAGAATGCAGTAAACACGCCTTAAACACACCTAAAAGTACGTGCCAGTGCTTTTAATCATATGTAAATGGGTCAGTTTAATCTAAATATAGTTAATGTATATTGCCCTTCAGCCAATAAAATACGAGGTAACAGAAATCTGTAAGAAAAGTCCAAAAACGGCTTAGGACGTCCATAGCACTGGGGGTCAAGAAAAAAAATAACGGCCAAAGACGGGCGTAGCAGCGTACGGGAAATCAGGAAAAGACGTCCATAGCAGCGAAAGGGTTAAGGAGAACTGGCTCAAAAACAGCATCCTGTCCTGGAAGTTGAAGTATTTTGACCACATCAAACATCATGGTGGTTTGGAAAAGACGGTGATGGAGGGTGCAGTTTGTGGAAAGCGAGGCAGGGGTCGACCTCCATGAAGATGGGCGCAGGACATTAAAGATGCATTTGCATTAAAAGCACATGGGGCTGGAGAGCTGGCTAGGGAAAGGGATACTTTAAGACGTGCCGTGAAGAGAGTGACATTTTATAAAGGACTTGCTGACTGATGATGATACATTGACATGTCAAGACTCAGGAGTCAGTCAGTTATTCATTACTATAATATCTTACATTAATCATCATTAAGTGGCATTGCTACAAGTGTTTTCAGTGGAAACATGCCAGTTTAATTTGCGGCAGATAAACTATATTCTACCCATGTTTGCAATACACATAACATGACAGCCAACTCTTCACATGGCTATTGAAGATGGGGACAGAGCTGTTATGGGAATGTCATGAGTGCTGTGATATCGATTCTTAACTCAACTCAAATAACATGACAGCCATTAACTCTTTATAATCTGCACACCACAGCAGGAATTTCAGACCAAGAAAAAACTGGCTACAGAATGGCCAGTCAGATTACTCCTACTTGAAAACCATTACAATGAAGAGGAAACTGATGTTTCAGAACAGTGTTTTCTGATTGTAAATGTGATTAAATAGTGAAATCACAAATGCTCATTTAAAAAAAAAAAAATTTTATTGTACATTATCTGATTAGGTAGATTGCACCTGTTGAAATACAGGAAAACATATCAGGCAATAAATTAAGCTTTCTATTCTATGTGATCCACTTTTCATTGATTTGTTGTTCTAAGACTGTTTCTCAGAAGTTTATGTTGCCTACTGTCAGATTGACATTTTCTGTTTACGTATCAGTGCAAGACAAACAGAATCGTAATCAGAGGGATGTAGAAAACTCCTAGTCTCAAACCAAGCTGAGAACATTATTGTCAAAAATTGTCCCAAAAGATCTCAGTAATTTCGGTCTCTTTCACCTCATCAATTTGCCCTAAATCTCTGGTTAATGAATCAGGTGCCTACATTGTTTGTACAAGCGTGAAGAAAAGGAGGTTCTGTGTGTCAGTTCAAACACCTCAAAACACCTTGACTGTTGAATGTGATTAAATGTGTGCTAATCTTTGCAGTGTTAAAATTGCTGGCTCCCATTTCGATTTTCTGCTTGATAGACTAGTACTTCTTCACAAGTATTATATATTAATCAAGTAACAGAAAATGTATTGATCGGCACTCATAGAAAGAAGTAGAAAGATAGAAGAACGTACTAGACAACATAAATAAAGCTATAGTTACCATGTCGGCTCTGTGGCTAAGTAAATGCGAATGCTTTGTGGAACCGGGTTCGATCCAAGCTGTGGGCCATGCGCCTTGCATTGGTTTTGACAGTGGTATCAAGAAAGCCAAAAGCAATGGCAAACTACTGGACAGAAAATGTGCCTAGAAAAACCACACAACAGCCAGGAGCTGTTGTAGTTACCATGCCGGGAATTGAACCTGTCACCCCCAGGTGGAGAGTGCGCCTCGCCATGGATACAGGTGCACTAAGAACATGGTCAGCTAGGCACCCCTTCCCTCTCCCAGTTTATTGCATGTTTATTCTTCACAAGTAAACACTGACACCTATTAGATTTCAGTTTAGTGACACAAGATGAAAGTTACAGAAAATCTTCATCTGTTTGTATCTTTTTTTTTTTTTTTTTTTTGCATACAATGTGCATAGGGCCACATGGATCCTGATGTGAAAGATGCCTTATACCACATCATTGAACTGCGAAGTATGGAACAATTTTGCTGACCAGTCAAGAAAGGAACAGCAAAAAATTGATTTCGCTCTTGCTACAGAGAAATAACAAAATGAAAGTGAAGCAGATCTGCAGAATTCTGAAGCCATAAGACATGAAAGAAGGGTCCTAGTCTATGATGCCAGTTTAAGGAGTAAGTGGGACAGTTAGACAGCAGTCTCTTAAAGTACCTTTAATGCCTTGAAGTGCCTTAAATAGATGAGATCTATATAGTTACTTGTTGGTTGTGCTCTTCTTGCCATCTGATGATTTATTTGTGGTGGTAAATGACTGATGTTTTCATAATTGTATTAGATACCAGAGAGTATAATGTATATTAACAAAGTCTTTCTTTTTATACTTTTCCCTTTTCCCTTTTAAACTTAGTTTGGTATATTTGCAGAGAAAATGTATAGTGAGCACTTTTTGTTGCCAGAAATGACCTTAGCGATAACACCATCTCTGCTGGATTGTAAGAAGCAATGTTCTTTGCACAAGCAAATGTATTTTATTAATTTGCAAAATAAAATGTGGTAGATCTGAAATGATAAATTCATCTCAACTTATCATTATTATTCACCTCGACTTATTAAAATTAATGTTTATTATTGTATAAATGTATGGCTGTAAATATGTGTATCACAGAATATAATTCCAGTAAGGATTGTCTTCCCTTGGGTGTGTAATGACTCTTGATATCGGTCTATGTCTTCCTAAACATATAAAGGAATTTCTGGTAGTATAATCATTGACTGGTTGCCATTCCTTGTTTTGTACTGATCAGAAATGGAACAAATATTGTCACTATCAAATTTTAAATAGAAGACCATGTCTCAGTTACAGCTTTAATGGAAATGGAAATATGCAGTATCAATATCTTTTTTTCTTTTCAAAGTAGTAATGTCAAAATGGACTTGTAATTCCAATGTACCATGAACGAAACCCACTGCTGGCTGTGTGGATTTTTATCATGGTAAGATGCGTCGCAGGTCGACCCAGCCTAAAATGGGTACCAGGATGTATTTCCTGGGGAAGTAAAGATGGCAGGCATAATTCGAACAACCTAGTGCCGATTGGTCTGTAAAAATATGGGTGCTCTTTCCATATCCCCAATGCGCCTAAGGCATGAAAAGGGATCTTGACTTTTACTACTTAATGTCAAAATGAAGGCTATCTGCAGTTAAGCTGATATCAAGAAGTAACTGAATGCACAACTTTGTGACTTGGAAACTTTGTGCCTGTCTTTTCCTTTTTCCTCTATTAAGCTTCTTAGTCATAGTTTGGGTTGTGTTTAGACACTTTTATTTGCATTGTCTGTCCTTGATTGTGAACGTAAAACTACATATAAAGCTTGTCCTTTTCAGGTCTGGGAATCATTGTAAAGATTGCTTTCAACTGTTATTTTAGCTTATGGTGCTATCTTTTTGTCTACCTGGAATATTGCTTTGTATTTACTGAACTGTTATTCCTTTAATTTTTCACATGAGTTAAGTATAACGTAGATTAAATGTTTTCCTTCTTTAAGAGGTGTTACTTAAGTATTTGTTTGCATCTGATTATTAAAATCATTTTTGCTCTTGTACTCTGCTGGTTTGGATTACTTTTTGGGAATATTTTGTGCATTTTTGCCACAAGTCTTCTTTATTTGTATAGTTAACTATTTGCTTGGGTCTGTTTTAATTACAATAACACTAGAGTGCAGATGTTTGTATACTTACTTCCCAACACTGTGTTTGTTAAATTTTAAGGACTCTTGCCCTTATGAGTCTTGTATTTATATAGGAATTTATCTAAAAAAAAAAAAAGCAGAGGTTGTTGATGTGTCGCTGTAGTAACCTTAGGGTGCCTATTGCTTTATTTGAAATATTAACTTATCATTAAATCCCTCAGTCTCCTTCAGTAAAGTTAGCCTCACTGGTTATATTTTATAATTTATAATGGGCATTTTTGTGACACCCAAGATGGACTTCTTGTGCTGTGTCACAATATTTCTAATATTTAAAACTGATGAACATGAGTCTGTGTTTTTTATGTGTTGTTTCTTTTACACAGCACATTCTCTTAAACTGTCTGTCAATACCACTTCTTTTTTAACTGTTCTCTGAAAGCTGGATCAAAGTGCTTGCCCAATTTCTGTTCACTGATCATTTGAACATTTGTGAGTATTCCTACATCTAACCCAGAGTGATGCAGACATCATCACCCACCAAATACCAACTGGTCTATAAAACATAGGTCTAATATGTGGCCCAGTAATCCTGAAGACATGGAAAAGTGGCCGTTACTTTTTCAAATTAATTTAATTTAACTTAAATTTTTTTTTTTTTTTTTTACATCTTGCATCGAACGTTTCTGTACAATAAATGACCATTTTATTCTGTGAGTCACTTACATTTAACTGACACCTGTGTACATGTTCAGACAGAAAGTGCTTATTGCTAACATGCCAGAAAGCAATGCTTCATTCAAGTCAACATTTAGGTATTGTATTTTAATTAGATATCAGATGTTTGTCTTTTTTAAAGAAACATCTTCCACAGTTTGAAATGCACAGAAAACTTTGAAAGACTACAATGAACAGTTGAAACTTTCAGTTAACTGATGATATTTTCAGCAGAACTAATCAAATACTCTTACAAATGGAGGATATTACCCTGCTGTAGCTCAAGCAATCAGGGTAATTGTCATCATCATCAAGTGCCTTGCCAGCTGGCGTAAATGTTTATGCATCTCCACAGATCTCAGTCTTTTAGTGTTATGGGTGAATTTACTGATGATATTCTTCCATGCAACTAAAAGAGTCTTAAGCCATCCACCATCAATTTCTCTTGGTCTGCCTCTGCCTCTTCTACCAGTGACCTTTCCAGTCGTCACAGTATTTTCCAGTGCTCCTTTTCTCATCACAAACTTTGTTTGTTTCCTTCTCATTGTTGTTTATAAAGTTCTATTGTCATTAGTCATTTCCAGGCAATCATTGTTGGTTATTCTGGCAGTCCAAGGTATTCGCAACAATCTTCTCAAGAACCACATCTCAGTTGCCTCCAAACTCTTCTTAATTTGTTTGCTCACATTCCAAGATTCACTGCCATAAAACAGAACAGGCTTGATGTAACATTTCAGTACTCGTTTTCTGATGTTTAATTAGAGGGATTTTTTAAATAAGATATTTTTCATCTTTTGAAATGCAGCCTTTGCCATGGCCAATTCTTCTCTTCAATTCTGTCAAACATCGTCCATCTGACGTAAGGTTTTCCCCAAAAGGGTATTATATTGGTTAAATTGCTGATTATAAGTAATTAAATATATGAAACAATGCTAATATCTTTTTTTAACAGCCAGTAAATATGTGTAATATGTCCTAGTCCAAATCTTACAAAAGAGAGAGAGAAAAAAAGAGCAAATATTAAGTATTGATAGAAATAAATCTTCAAGTCTTTTTAAAGAGAAACAATAGAAGACGGAGACTTCTGAAGCAGTGTCCAGGTCTCTCAATGTGTTGTCTCAAAATCTTAAATTCTTTTCACATTGCTGTATGAAACTAAATAACAAGGGTGATGAGTTGCCAGCAGTAAACTTCATAGTAAATTAAGAGGTATTAGAACAAGTAACACATTTCTCCTACCTTGGACATGTAGTAACAGAGGATAGTAGAAGTGAAATACACATTTAAAAAAGAGGGAACTGAAAGGGTTGCACTTTAGCACCAGATCCATATTTTTTTTTTGCCAGAAGGCTCTCTATAGAGGGTAGGTTTATTATCACCATAATTTTTTCAGATACTAGTTTTATGATACAGCTAAAAGAGACAAGGCCTTATTACAAAATTTTTAGTGGATCTATTCTTGTTTTCCTCCATCAGATTTTTAGCCACGTAGTTAACAAGAAATTCTACTTTCAAGATATGTTGATTAGGTGAAGTTTATGAAGATGGGATAAGTGTAGATAAACTAATATCACAGATGTGAATCATGTTTAATAATAGATTATTTTAATATATACATTTGAACCATTTAATCTCACCTCTAAACATTCCATATTGTTTATGGTGTCAAATGTCAGATACAACTTTATCTTTGTTTATATTTCTTGTTGAACCTTACAGCACAACTGGAAACAATATGTATACATACATTCCACTATAACCCCCCCCCCCCCCTTTTTAAAAATTATAAGTTGGCTGAATCTTGTAAGTTGCCTGAATTCTAGTTTCTTTCTGATGGTGTCACTAATTTGCTGATGTCATTATCATGTAGCAGGTCCTTTGGAGAACATCATTCTCATCACGGTCTGCCTGAAAAAACTTGGTCTCTCGCCATCTCTCTGCCTTAAACCTAAGGAGTCACTTATATCATATGCTCTCTTTGTGCTGGTCGGCCCATGCTATCCTTCCTGGTACTATGTCTTCTGCTATTATTTTTTTCTAATCTGCCATGGCACTTGATATGGCCAATATTTTTCAGCTTCCGCTACAAGGTGCTCTTTAGTCAGTCTTTCTTGATGTTCAAATATTTTAGAGTGTCAGTATTTCTGTCCTTCTTTGTCCATGGTATTTGTGGATATTTCTAGAGCATTTCAGTTCAAAAGCCCCTATTTTGTTCCTTAAGGACTTGCTGATATAGATGTATTATTATGAACCAAGTGGAAATAATAAAGAGGCCATGCATATAAATAAATAATGTCATGCAGTGATATCAAAACAAATGACAGTCTTTGAGATCTTCCATCTATGAATCACACAGAGATTTTCTCCAGTTGTTTATACCTCTTCCGAACACAGCAAGGTATAAGAGCACCCAGATGAGATCAGAATAATGGCGTACTATAAGCAGGAATAGTGGGGGGACCCTTTCATAAATAACGGAAGATAATGTATTTATTAGAGATGTACTTTCCACAAATCCTTACAGTATTATCTTGTGATACTTCTGATAAACAGGCAAGTTGTGCTTCTTGTGTTATACATGGTCACAGTTTCTGAAATTGTCTCTCAATCATTAACATTCGGATAGAATTA